TACAATAGCTAAGATCTGGAAACAGCCCAAGTGTCCATCAGTAGACGAATGGATAAAAAAGCTGTGGTACATGTACACAATGGAGTACTATGCAGCTGTAAGAAAGAAAGATCTCTTATCCTTTGAGATGACAGGGAGGGACCTGGAGAGTATTATCCTAAGTGAAAGAAGCCAAGCAGAAAAAGACAAATACCATATGATCTCACTTATTTGTGGAATATAATGAACAAAATAAGCTGATAAGCAAAATAGATTCTGAGACATGGAAGTAGGGAACAGACTGTCAAACCTCAGAGGGCAGGGCGGTGGGGCAGAAAGAGATAAACCACAGAACTAATACACATATGTGCATAAGCAATGGGCATGGAAAACAGTGTGGTGATGGGGGGGGTGGGGGGCAGGAGCAGGGAGTCAACGGGTGAATAAAGGAGGCACATTCTGTAATGCAACAGTAAAGGAAAATTTAAAAAAGTAATGAAAATAAAAATACTTATACACAGTAGCATAAAATATGAACTTATGAACTTTTGGGGGTAAAGTGGGTAATATATATATATATATATATATATATATATATGAAACTACAGAATATTACTGAAAGAAATTAAAGAAATAAAAAGATATATACTGTGTTCGTGGGTCAGGAGATTCAATATTATTAAGGTATCACTTGTCCCCAATTTAACCTGTTTATTCAGTGAAATCCCCGTCATAATCTCAGGAGCCTTTTTTATAGGAATTGACAAACTGATTCTAAAATTTATATGGAAAATCAAAATGTATAGAATAGCCCGAGCAATTTTATAAGGAAAGACAATGTAGAAGGAGCAGTTACTAGGCTCCAGGGGTCAAGGAACTCTGTTGGCGGAGACATAGTCATACAGACCGATGGAGCAGAAGAGATGCAAGGAACAGACCGACGTAGATAGGGTGAATCGATTCTCATCCGTGTTGCCCAAACAGTTTACTGGGCAAAGCAAAATCTTTCGACTAATGGTGTCATAGGCAGAAAAATCATCTTCAGTTCTTACAGGATACTCTGCTCTTCAGGTATCCTTGCTTTAGTAGTCCAAAGAGGATTTTTTGCTTTTACGAAAAGAGATGTTCCAGTACTAATGTAGACGTTTTGTCAACGTGAAAGGGCGGGACTCGAGCCTTCAGAAAGTGGGGGTACTGTTCACTAGGCGCCAGTGGGCGTAGGAGAGGTTTCAGGGGAACACTGTACTTCAGCGTAGTGTGGGGGCCTGTATATGAAAAAAATCATGATAGGTTATAGAGCTAAAAGGAAGAACTAAAACGATAAAAATCCTTGAAGGAGGCATAGGAGAGAATTTGAGTGTCTTGGGTTTAAAAGATTTCTGAGGTAAGACAAGAAAAGGCACAAACCATAAAAGCAACACACCGATACATTGGACTTCGTTAAAATTAAAAACGTGTCATCTTCGGACAATGGACCCACGAAGAAAAGGCAAGCCGTAGGCTGGAGGGAAATATTAACAAAACGTATCCGATAAAGGAATCGCATCTGGAATATATACAAAACGTGGACCAGTCGCTAAGACCAGTCGCCTGTGGCGGCCTTGGGGGAAAATGTCTGAACCTACACTTGACCACGTCGGATACGCAGATTATAAATAACCCCTCGGAAAGATGCTCAACATCACATGCCCTTTGGAAAATGCAAATCGAAACGAAGGTTCTGTGTACCCACAAGAACTGAAGTTAAAAATATCTCCCACGTGTAAGTCCTGTAGCATGTGGCCCTTGAGCTCTCGTTACACTGCCTGTTTGGGTGTCTCTTGAAACATCCGTGCAGTCTAGCTCTTCCCCTCCGGATCCGAACTCAAAGGAATCAAAGCATCTGTTCACGCAGAGACATGCGATCATATCACAGCAGCTGGGACAGGTTCACGGATAAGTAAGTGCGGTGTCCCCATACGATGGAGGGAACCGAGCAATAACACGGAATGAATTCGAAATGCACACCGTCATCGCAATGAGGCTCGAAATAATCATGCCTCTTGCAAGAAACCAGATGAAAGCACATACATAGTGTATGATTTGATTTCTATAAATTTCTCGAGAAGGGACCGTGGCTGCCTGGGAAGATTAGGAAGGGGAATGAGGAAAAGACCCTTTGGGGGATGATGGATCGGTATACTGTCTTGATTGTGCTTATACTTTCATGAATTTGGTGTCTGAAGCTCATAAAGTTGTGTGCTTTATAGTATACACGCATTGTACATCAGTTATACCTTGATAAATGATTGAAAAAATCATTGAAAAAAGACTAAGAACAATGGTTGAATAGTTTTTATATGTGGTGGTATTTTCTTTTAAAAAAAATATATATGTTTTGACTGATTTTTGAGAGAGAGAGAAACATCAATGTGAGAAATATCGATCCGCTGCCCCCTGCACGCCCCCTGCTGGGGACCGAGCCTGCAACCCTGGCATGTGCCCTGACCAGAATCAAACCTGGACCTCAGTCCATGGGGTGACATTCAGTCCACTGAGCCACACCAGCTGGACTGTGGTGGTATTTTCATAATTTAGCCAAATGCAGTACCTGCTCTTAACCTCATTGATAGTTCTATTTGAAATTCAAAAGGCACAAGAATTGTCTAAGAGAAAAATATTTCATTATATTTTACTTTTGAAATATGCTTTTCAGCAGAATTCCACTTAATTTTCAAGAGTAATTTATTTTATCCTTGTTACTTGGTGAGGAGTGTCTCAAAACACTGTCCTGATTTTAGATATAGTGATAAACGAAGAAATTGATCTCAGGAAATTAAGGATATTTCTAAAATGTGTAGTATTTCCACTTTTAAAACTTATTTATTATAGGGCAATTGTAGGGAGGTAGGAAGTACCACAGAAAAATCATGGATTGCTTTTCTTTTCTTTTTTTTTTTAACCTCACCCGAGGACATTTTTCCAATTTTTTGTACAGATAGAGTGGGAGGGAGAGAGAGGACGAGAGAGAGAGAGAGAGAGAGAGAGAGAGAGAAACATCGACGTGAAGGGACCCATCGAGTGGCTGCCACCCGCACGACCAACCAGGGCCGGGGACAAACTGCAACCGAGGTACGTGCCCTTAGCGGGAACCGAACCCGGGTCTCTCTGGACCTCAGGCCGACACTCTAACCGCTGAGCCAAACCGGCCAGGGCATGGATTGCTTTTCTATCGGATTTAAAACTTCTACATTTAACTTTTGTCCTCGATGATGGAATTTATTCTACTTAAATAAAGTCCATGTTTTCCATAACTTAGCATTTGTATGTCAGACAGTGTACTCTGTCATTACTATATAGTTTTGATCAAATGGCAAGTATTTGGAATCAATTTTGTTACTTACACCTATTTTCTAGGATTCCTTTTTTAACGCTTTCTGGGAGCAGCTATTCCTATATTGTTTGCATTAGTCTGAAAGCCATTATACACATATACACACGCCCCTATAATTTTATAATGCTGAGGACTCCACCTCTGCAAACTTGTAAAACTTATCTAATATTTAAAAAGAATAATAAGCCCTGGCCGGTTTGGCTCAGCAATTAGAGCATTGGCCCGAGGACCCAAGAGTTTCAGGTTCGATTCCTGGGCACGTATCTCAGTTGCAGGTTTGATCCCCGGCCCCGGTTAGGGTCACGTGGGAAGCAACCAATTCATGTGTCTCTCTTACATCGATGTTTCCTCTCTCTCTCCCTTTCTCCCTTCTACTCTAAAAACCAATGAGAAAATATCTTCAGGTGAGGATTTAGAAAAAAAATTAGCACAGTAAGTTTTATATGTTAAAATTGTTACTGCACGAGCCCTGGCCAGTTTGGCTCAGCGGTTAGAGTGTCGACCTGCGGTCCGGAGAGACCCGGGTTCGGTTCCCGCTAAGGGCACGTACTTCGGTTGCAGTTTGTCCCCGGCCCTGGTTGGTCGTGCGGGTGGCAGCCACTCGATGTGTCCCTTCACGTCGATGTTTCTCACTCTCTCTCCCTTCCTCTCTCTCCCTCCCACTCTATCTGTACAAAAAATGGAAAAATATCCTCGGGTGAGGATAAAAAAAAAAAACCAAAAAAAAAAAAATTGTTACTGCACGAGCTAACTAAAAGAGCTACTTTTGTTGCCATATTTTACTAATGTATATAAATTACATTCCTTTTAAAAGTTTCCTTCTTATTTTAAAATACATTGCTCGTGATAGATAATACTGGGTTGATTTTATTCTTTGATTTAATCAACTAGTAAATATGGACTATGCTTTGTGTATCAAAACATTGTGGAAGAGATACAGAAGTTCTTGCCTTTGAGAGGTTTACAGTCTCGTTGAGAAGCAAACGTTAAGTAAGATTTCAAAGGAGCAGGAAGTGGATGATACATTAGTCCATTATTAGGACCTAGACTAATTGTTAGACTACTCTTAGTGTGATCATTAGGATCATCACATGACTGTGGTACTTGGTGATTCATGGTTGAAGGAAAGACATTCAATTTAGTGGATATGGAGTTTGAAGGGATTATTGACTTGGAGGGGTCTGGGAAGGCTTCTTGGAGGTGGAGGGATTTTTGCTTAAATGGATTTATTGAGGTCAAGTACTTAAACGGTGCCTGTCCCGTCCTTAGCCCTCGCTGAAGGGTGCTGGGTGTTATTGCTGTCCTCAGCAGCATCTGGGCCTCGCTGAGCAGAAAGGATGATGATAAACAGCCTTGATTGGGGAGGATATTCTGGGCCGGGCGATGACATGATTTGCTATGAATATGTGGCATTTAGGCTGAAATTGTGAGCTCAGCCTAGATTCTGGGCTGTTCTCTGTGCCTGACTCCTGGGAGTCTCAGATGCCACCACACCCTTCTGTAATTATGACTCAGGAGTGCTGGATGCGTCCCAAATCTGTATTCCTTGAATGTTTGGTTCGTTTTGAAGTGAAAATCTGGTCATCAGTAAAGATTTGTTCATCTTCATTTAAGGGTTATTGTTGTTTTTTTTCTTTGATCCCGACAGGAGCATCGGAACTTGCCGTTCATGCGTGAACTCAGATATCTCTTTGCTCTTCTTGTCGGTACTAAGAGGAAGTATGTGGATCCCTCGAGAGCGGTGGAAATTCTTAAGGATGCTTTTAAATCCAATGACTCCCAGCAGGTAGCTGTATTGTGCTTCCTTGTTTCTTAACCTTCTGTATTTTCCTTAATCTGATCATTCGGTCAGCAGCTTTTTTGGAAGATGTTGTTATTCCTCTTAATAACAAGCTGGAGCCATTTAAAACATTATTTATTAGAAATATTTATTTAAAAATTTTTTAAAGTAATTTGAAAGTGTTAAGAGAAATAAAAGTATAATTTATATTATGATGGACATGGGTAAGTTACAACTATGGGTAAAAGTAAGAATGCTCTAAAACGTGTAGTAAGAAATCTGCACAGCCCTGGATGGTTTGGCTCTGCAGTTAGAGCGTCGGCCCGAGGACCAATGAGTCGCAGGTTCGATTCCGGTCAAGGGCACGTACCTCGGTTGTGGTTCGTCTCCGGCCCTGGTCGGGGTCATGCGGGAGGCAACCAGTTGATGTGTCCCCTCTCACGTTGGTGTTTCTCTCTCCTTCCCACTCTATCTGAAGATAAACAGAAAAATATCCTCGGGTGAGGATTACAAACAAACAAACAAACAAACAAACAAATAAATAATCTGCCCAAATCTGTGATGACCTGCTACAGCATTGCCTGCTTTTGAGGTGCCTGTTTTTGCTGGCAGGCACCGTTTCTGATCGACATTCACTCCGTTATGTATCACCTGCTTTTATTTCCCAGTCTTTATGTAGTGCTGTTTGGGGGCTTTTTATTCATGTCTTTAAACGAATGTCAGGGATCTTTCATAAAGCAGAAGACCTCAGCAAGCAACATGGTCACGGGTAAGTTGAGAGGTCAGCGGCCTTAAAGAAGGAAGACGAGAGGAAGGAAAGTAGCAGTGTTGGGAGATACAATGTTACTCGGGAGAGCGCTGTAGCCCACCTGTCCCCGCCACGCAGCTGTGCGGAGGGCGTGTTCGGAGCGGGTGTACTCAGCCACCACCGCCTCTCTGCATTTTTTTTTTTATGATTTATGGCCACGATAAGTGAACAGAAGTGGAGCCCATGATTCTGGGGGCTGTGGGCCCTTCCAGAGAGTTGCAATAAACGCAGTTCAGGGACCCACATATGGAGGAGGAGGTACAGGGGTGAGATTTCTTAGGGCAGAAACAGAAGATGGCCCCAAGTTCCCAGCGTCTGTGGGTTCCTCGTCCTTGTCAGGGCTTAGCCCCGTCTCTGTCCCCGTCCGACTGGCTTAGCCTCGGTTCCTGCCTGCGCTCACCTCTGCTGTGCGCTCACCTGGTGGGCTCGGGGCCCGTGGGCTGCTGTGGGGAGAACGAGGGGTGAAGGCCCCCGTGTCACCCCGTGAGAGGCCTTTGTTAGGCTTTGATTATGTTGCCTCCAGCTTTCAAACTGACCAGTCTCTCTCCCGGTGGTTCCCAGGCTTGGGCTGGGCCCTCCCCGACCAGTGCAGGCTTTCCCAGGTTAGACCCACCCCCCCTTATCTCCTACGGGGCATGTCTCCTAGTAGAAGGGCCTCTCCGGCCCACTGGACTCCTGGGCATGCGCACCCCCCCCCCCAGAGGGGTGTGCACCCTTCCCCCCGATAATCCTGGTGCCAGGCTGGTTGTACCCTGGGTGGACTGGAAAGTGGGTTTTCCTTCCTAAATAGGGGGCTGGAGGGGTATTAACCCCCTTGGCAATGCTGCCTTCCCTGGTGTGTGAAGCTGTAGCTTCCAACCTAATGACGCGTAGCCAGCTCCTTTCTCTTATTAATGTCCAGCTACCTACCTGCGCCAGCATTACCTGTATTTGCTTTTATTTATTGTTTTTAGTTTTGTTTTCTAACTATTCCAGGGCCTGTTAGGTTTACTGTCTTTATCTGTTAAAACAAGGCTTAAACAGGCCAAAAGAAATACTATTCCTCAAAATGATTCCAAACCACCAATTTAGGGCACTGCTGGTTCTGAGTAGGGTTGTTTTGGTTTGTTGGTTTGTTGGTTTGTTTTGTAGCATTATTGTTTGATTTAGTATGTGTGCTCTATTCTCTGGTGGCTACAGAGGATACAGTTAAATTACAAAGTCACTTGGGTCCCTTGACTTTTCTTCTGGAATCGCTTAGTCTTTTTTCTTGGCCGCTCTTGTTTGCATTGAAGGTTTCTGCGGATGTGCCGTGCTCTGTAGGCGTCGCTTCATATTTAAAAGGGAGGCAGCACAGGCCTCGTTGGGAGCCTGTGTCCGCAGGTAGACTTCAGTTTTGCTGGAGCGGACAGGAGACACGCGCGTCAGTGCCGCCGCGTGCTCCAGAATGTCCCGGTGCAAACGCCTTCGCTTCGAGCTGGCGGCGTGGACCGACCAGCTCTCTCGTTGTTGTGCTCTTTTCCCTGTGAGGTCCTCTGAAGCACTTGTACATGGCTCCGGCCAGTGCGGCCCGGTTGGTTCTGCATCGTCCTGTGCACCGAAAGGTCGCTGGTTTGATGCCTGTCAGGGCACATGCCGGGGTTGTGGGCTGCATCCCTGGTAGGGGGCGTGCAGGGGGCAGCTGATGGATGTTATGCTCTGTGTTTCCCTGTCTCTCTCCTTTCCTGTCTCTCTAGAAAAATCAATTTTAACAAAATCTGTAGAGTAGTTGCACATCAGTTGAGGTAGAGATGGGTTTGAACCTCTCCTGTTCCCACTCACCTGAACCTGAAGCACACGTCAGAGACCTAGAGGAATAAATCAGAAACGAAGTAAGCAGCATGCTTCTTTACAGGTGAATGGATGTGTCATGTTCTTTCTGGTTGTTTCATTTTGAAATAGGCACGAGTTTTGGGGGGAGGGGGATACCTTTTGGGATATAGTGCTGCCGATTTTAATATACAACTAAAATGTGATAGTAAAGGCCTTGTCTTGTCTCCTGACAAACGCAGGCAGAATTATCCCGTAAGGGTAAATTTCAGATCGATTGCCGAAAAAGGGGATTGCTGTAAAAGGCGAAGGTGTTGCGAAAACTGGGAAACCTTTGACTTTCCTGTCAGATAACCGTGCAAGAGACATTGTGGAGACGTGTAGGAGGTTTTAAGGTGTGAGAACTTGCCTGGGCAACTGTAACAAATCACACAAACCCAAATCACTTCAAACAGTAGCAAAGGATTCCCTCCACCTTGTCGAGGCCAGAATCCTAAATGAAGGTGTTGGCAGGGATGTACCCCCTCCAGTGGCTCTAAGGGGGAGCAGCCTGCTTGCCTCCCCCATATTCTGTGGGCTCCCGGAGGTCTTGTCACGTGTCAGCATAGCTGACTTCACCCTGACATGGCCTTTCCCCACGTGTCTGTGTGTTTGCTCACTTTCTGCTGCTTATGCAAATACTCATCATCGGAGTTCGCCCCATCCCAACCTAGGGTGACCTCCTCTGGAGATCCTAGCCTGGATTACGTCTGCGAAGACCCTGTTCCAAGGAAGTTTGCCTTCTGAGGTTCCGGGTGGACGTATGCTTTGGCGGGCCACTGTTCGACCTACTGCAGAATGTACGGATGTTTATAACTGGATTTTTGTGCTGCGTTTCGTGGTCTTGAATTGTATGACTTTGGAGTAATTTCCTGACTCTTCCTAGACCTTAGTTTCAACACTGTAAAGGTTCGTAGGTTGGCTCCCATGTTCTTTAAATAGTTTCTAGATGGAAAAAAAATAGATATGCTCGTTTGTTTCTGTTTAGGGTTACTTTGATACAGACACATTGCTTCCCTGATGTATCTGTATTTGATGGGTAGTCTTAGGAATCTTTTACTTTCCCCCACCGAGGTTCTGCGTGGACCGATTTTCTGGGTTTGGTTCGCATATTTGAAGGAATTACGGTAGTTGATGAGTGCATCTGCCGGGGCTACTCCTGTTTCCCTGGTAGGGGAGGTGGAAGCAGAGGACGGGGTGGCCGGCGTCGCTGGGCGTGCTGGCTCTGGGGGTCCGTTTGCTGTTCAGAGGGTAGGCTCGGGGGTCGGGCGTGAGAGACTGAGCTTGTCAGACCTCTCAGCTAAGTGGCTGTCACTTTAAACAGTTGGATTAAGAAAAACACATTCTCCTTCTAAGAGAGAAGCCAGTCATAATTTATAAAATGAAGAGTATTTTGGTGAGATAGGTCCTTTTCTAAAGATTCATTGCAGAGCTTTTTTGAGAGAGTAATAATACTTCATATGATTTCACCCCTATGTGGAGTCTAATGAACAAAATCAACTAACAAGCAACATGGAGACAGACTCATCGATAGACGGCAGGCTGGCAGCTGTCGGGGTAGAGGTTGAGGGGCAGGGTGGAGGATGGGGGGATCGAGCCAAAAAGGGAAGAAAAGAGAAAAGAACTCATGGACACGGACAACAGTGTGGTGATTGCTGGGGGAGGGTGTGCAGGGTTGGGGGCAGGTCTAGCGAGGATAAATGGTGCTGGACGGAGACTTGACTTGGGGCGGTGAACACACAATGCGGTGTGTCCAGATGATGTGTTGTGGGGTTGTGCACCTGAAATCTGTATCATCTGTGAACCAGTCTCACCCCCAATAAATTCCGTGAAAAGCAAGGACAATAACAATTAAATACATAAAAATAAAAAATAGAAATCTCATTTGTGAAGTTTGCATTTGGGTATGTAATTTTTTTCCTAAAGTGAAACCCACTCACCGTGATGATCCGTATAATACTTGTTTTTCTCCAACACTGATTTTACGCTCTGGCTAAGTTTCGAATATTTCTTGCATTGGGCGAGGAAGATTTCATATGATACCTTTGTGAGGAGTCTGTAATTATGCATTTGAATGTCTGGCTGCAAGGTTTAGGTTGCAGTAGTCCGTATTTGTATTAATAGGCTAAAAAAAATGACGAGTTTTTTTCTTTCCGCAGCAAGATGTGAGTGAGTTCACACACAAACTCTTAGATTGGCTAGAAGACGCTTTCCAGATGAAAGCGGAAGAGGAGACGTAAGTTACCGGGCACGTTCGTGGCGGGGTTTAAGGGATCTATAAATAGCACTCTTTTTTGTTTGTTTTTTAATGTATTCGGTGTCAACAGAAAGTAGGCATCTGAGACATATGACAACCCAAAGGTCGCCGCTGTATTATTGACAAACTGTTTGGGGTTTGTGGCCACAGATGCTGGTAGCCTTAGAGTTTCACTCCAAGATCAGAATCCAGCCAGGTCTACACAGTGACCCCTGGAAAGGCTCATTCCGAATGCCCACTTCTTCTCATTGGATTCAGTGAGGAGCGGGACATGTTGCAAGTAAGACTTAAGATTTCAGAAGAAATGGCCCAGCCGGTGTGGCTCAGTGGCTGAGAGTTGACCCTGTACCAAGAGGTTGCGGTTCGATTCCCGGTCGAGGCATATGCCCAGGTTGTGGGCCCGATCCCCGGTGGGGGGCGTGCAGGAGACACGTTCTCTCTCATTGATGTTTTTATCTCTCTCTGAAATTAATTTTTAAAAAATGAATAAAGAAAAAAATTTAAAAATAAGATTTCAGAAGAAAATGGAAAAGTTCTAGCCTCTTTTAAAAACCATTTTAGAAAAGGGGAGATACTTTGTTAGTTACTAGATCCTCTAAGGTGACCAGGACCCAACGAAAATCACAGTAAGTGAATCAGCAGCCAGGTCTTCAGAATCAGAATCGCGTGAGTCCTTCAGAAGACGGAAGGGTTCGAGAGGAGTCCGGCAGCATTCTCCTGATCTGTAGGCGAAACGCTGGCGGGCAGCTCTGGGTTGAAGGCGGGACACTGGGGTGCCCACAAAATCTGGGTGGATTGGAGGGGGGCGCCTCAGGGTGAAACAGTTAAAGAATTACTGAGAGAGAGTCAAAGAGACTCAGCTACCATAGACCGGGATACAGATATTGTTCACGCTCAGCGGAAACATGCCCAATACCTGTTAATATTAGAACCTTCAAGGTGCAAGGGACAGGAGCCATGGAGAACGAGGACCCAGGGTGGACAGCCGTGGATGACGTCCACACATAGACTCTTAGTCTGCCGGGACCGGAGCGCTGGTCGAGTCCTTCAGGTGGACAAGGCATGTTTGATTAAGGGTGGCTTTTCACCTTCCCATCAAGTCCAGAACAGCGTGTGTGGCCCAACACGGAAGTGTCTGATGATAGTAGGAAGATCAGGCACTTCATGGGCACGGACTGTCAGATCCTGTTGTGTGGTCATCCCACATACTAACTCACTCCTGTTAACTGTTTAAATAGCCGGTGAGCTTAATTACCATTATTGTCTTCAGCTGACAGGTGAAGCGACAGATACGTTTAAGTACCTTACCTGAAGGGACACTAAGTAACAGCTGAGCACATGATGACATCGACCTTACCGCTTTGGCATATGTTCTTGTTCTTGACATGTTTTCTTTATTATTTACAGGTTTAAAAATTATAACCGTATTTTCTTTTAACATGCTTTAGGGATGAAGAGAAGCCAAAGAACCCCATGGTGGAGTTGTTCTATGGACGCTTCTTAGCCGTGGGAGTACTTGAAGGTATAGTTACACTTTTGCTTGTTGTTACAGTTGAGATAGTATCTGTTAGCTGCTTTGTCTTGATAGTAACTCTTTATTTGTTGGCTGGTTTTTAATTTCAATTTGACTTACTCTGTTGAGAGTTCCTGTTACATTGCTACTACTACTAATCATTTGTATACAAAGTGCAGAATGGAGTGATGAAGACAAAGGCACAGAGTGTATTATCACACGCTCATTGATACTTAGTATCACTCTGTTGTCCTTGCCCTGGGAAGGCTTCTGAGATTCTGCGAATTACTGGGATACGGGAATGATGGGTCAGTTGTTGGTCGATCTTTTGAAACTGTCTTGGAGTTGAATATTACTGGATTTGGTATGATGATGGTTTTTGAGGGTTTCAAGTCTGTGAGTGTTAAAAACTGAGTTTAGCAATATAACATAGTTAGGATACTACAGTTTGGAGGCAATTATAAAACTCCTTAGACTCTAGTTTTCAAGAAAGAGTTGTAGTCTATGTTTTGCCAAATCAGCTAAGAGTGATGCTACTCCATCTACCATAAAGGCCTGTTACTCAGATCTGGGCCAAACCAGTTACTCTCTGATTTTCCTATCAAGGGGCGGAACTGAGTCAATAGATTTACTTCAAATAATATTACTAAGTCCCAAAACATAAACTTTGGAGAACTTGTTTTTCCCAAGTGGCTCAATGCATCAACTTTGGGACATTTACCCAAAGTATAAAATTTGGAAAATTGGTTTTCCTTTAGGATCTTAAGTAATGGATTCCCATGAAGTTTTGTTTGAATATAATTTTATAGTTTAGAATTCAGAGAGACTAAGGCAGAGAGACTAAGGGTTGGGTCAGTCATTTAAAACGTTATGTTGAGGTATCAGTATATAGGTATCAGTATATTTTTGTTTGCCTCAAGTGTTAATTATTCATTATATAAATAGTGGAATATTTTACATAGACCCTACATTCCATTCCAATTTGGGATGTCCATACTGTGATACTAATTTTTATTTGAAGCATAAGAGTAGCTCTCATCAGGTTGTGACTTGGCACCATTTATAATACCCTTCATACCCATTTCTATCTGCATTATCTTGATAATTAACTGTGATTGTTTCTAAAATACTTATCAGTCAGTGTTAAAGTCTTTAGTAAGTTGCTTCAGAGCTATTGTACTATGTAAATGTGACTTTAATAGCTAAGGTATGGAAACAGTTCTAGTGCCTATCAGTAGATGAGTAGATAAAAAAGTTATGGTACATTTATGTAATGGAATACGATGCAGCTTTTAAAAAGAAGGATTTCTTACCCTTTGAGACAGCATTGAGGGACCGGAGAGTATTATGCTGAACAAAATAAGCCAATTGGAGAAAGACAAATGTCAAATGATCACACTTATATGTGAAATCTAATGAAAAAAATAAATAAACTGATGAACAAAATAGATCCAGAGACATGGAAGCATGGAACAGACCAATAAACCTCAGAGGGATGGGGGGGTGGGGAAGAGATAAACCAAAGAACTTACATGCGTATATATGCACAGCCCATGGACACAGGCCTAGGGGTGACGGGAGCAGGGCAGAGGGGGCCATTGGGTGAAAAAAGGGGGGACATCTGTAATACTTTCTACAATGAAGATACATTTTTAAAAATATATATTTAAATTATTTAGAGCACTTTCTGATGACTTTTGCATGTGTCTTCCCAATGCTTCCTTTTAGGCCAGTGGGTCCCCAGGGGGTGATTTCAGTTTGATTACTCAAGCACCCCCCTTGCAAAAAGTTCCTCAACTTGTCCCGAACTTAGAGTCCACTGACCCCTCCATTTAGTCCCTCTCAGCCCCCTTCTTCATCTCCTCCTTGTCCATTACAATTAGTTGTACAAATACCCACAGCTCCCTTTCATACCTTCCTGCCGGCACCATCTCTGGCTGTTCTCTGACCTTCGCTGAGCGTCTGTCCGGGTTCCCTGCGCGTGAACTAAGTCCCTGGGTATTGCTGAGGAAAGGTCACTTCACTGGCCTCCCTGGAGCGGATCAAGAATGTAGTAGAGCCCGGCCAGTGTGGCTCAGTGGCTGAGCGTCGACCCTGCACCAAGAGGTCGCTGGTTCGATTCCTGGTCAGGGCACATGCCCAGGTCGTGGGCCTGATTCCCAGTGGGGGGCGTGCAGGAGGCAGCCAGTCAATGTTCTCTCTCATCGATGTTTCTATCTCTCTCTCTCTCTCTCTCTATCCTCTCTCTCTAAAATCAATAAAGAAAATAAAAATAAAAAGAATTCTGCCCTGGCCAGTTTGGCTCAGCAGTTAGAGCATTGGCCCACAGACCAAAGAGTCCGGGGTTCAATTCCGGTCAAGGGCACGTACCTCGGTTGCGGTTCGTCCTGGCCCCGGTTGAGGTCATGTGAGTGGCAACCAATCAATGTGTCTCTCTCACATCAGTCTCGCTCTCTCTCTCTCTCTCTCTCTCTCTCTCTCTCTCTTTCTCTCTTCCTCCTGCTCTATCTGAAGAGAAATGCATCCTCGGGTAAGGATTAAAAATAATAAATAGCCCTGGCCGGTTTGGCTCAGCGGTTAGAGCGTCGGCCTGCGGTCCTGAGAGACCCGGGTTCGGTTCCCACTCAGGGCACGTACCTCGGTTGCAGTTTGTCCCCGGCCTTGGTTGGTCGTGTGGGTGGCAGCCACTCGATGTGTCCCTTCACGTCGATGTTTCTCTCTCTCTCTCTCCCTTCCTCTCCCTCCCTCCCACTCTATCTGAACAAAAAATGGAAAAATATCCTCGGGTGAGGATAAAAAAAATAAATAATAAAAAATAAAAAACTCCCCTCTTCCCACACTTCTCAGTTCATCCTGTCTGACGTTCACCCCTTTAAAAGGGGGTTTGAGTTCGCCTGCTAACTCCCCATGATTTCAGACCGCCCCACTTTCGTTCTGGCCGAGACCTGTCCCAAAAGGACGCTTTGTAAGGTTATTGATTTCTCCGTGTTCAGCTTCACTGAATCCCTCTCAGTTTTTCTATTGAATTCTTAGCAGCTGTTAATTCTGAGGACCCTCCTCTCCTCCTCTTCCTTATTCCTGTTCTTTTCTTTTCCTTTTGTTAGTATGTTTTTATTGATTTTTTTAGAGAGGGAGGAAGAGAGAGAGAAACATTGATGTGAGAGAGAAACATCGATTGGCCGCTCCTACACGCCCCCTGCTGGGGATCGAGCCCACAACTGGGCATGTGCCCTGACCGGGACTCGAACCAGGACCTCTCAGTCCATGGACGATGCTCAATCCACTGAGCCACACCGACCGGGCACTTCTTTTCTTAAAAACCACCGGCTTCTATGGTACCCTATTTTCTTGGCTTTTTATAATGTCTGTGTGGGTACTTCTCAGAAGCTACGTCTATAGTCTCTTCTTGTATCTAGAGGTGGGACTCTGTGGGACTCCGCTTAGGCTCTTACCCTGTTTGCTGGCTCCCGGGGTGGTCTCGGGTCCTGCCCTGACCCCTGCCACCAGCCAGCCGGCAGTTCTCGGACTCACCGCTTCGGCTCAGAGGATTCATCTTACAGACGCATCCAACTGTGTTCTCCACTTGTCATCTCTTGGGACGTCCTCGAACAAGGAGGGCCACTCCGACCTTGAGACAAAAGGGAAAATCCCCTGCACTCCCTTCAGCGGGGCCCCTCTCAGAGCATCAACATCAGTCCGCTTGTTTGTGCGAGAAATCTGAGTCTCCTGGAGACCTTCCTTACCTCGGACCCCTCCTGCCCACGAGGCAGTCAGTCAAGTCTTGCTGGTGTCCCCGTTTGTACATATGCATGTGTGTGTGTGTAAATTAATGTCTGTTTTGTACACTTTAACTGGTAGCCCCCTATTCCCTACCTTTATTTCTAGATGGGTTCCGTAATGGTCTCCCAACAGTCTACCCCCCCCCCCAACACCCAAGCCATTAGGACATTTTAAAGACATAGATCTGATCCTTTTGTGCCTTTTCATTGCACGTATTGGGGTGACACTGGTTAACAGAAGTATACAGGTTTCAGGTGCACAGTTCTCGACAACACGTCTTCTGCACAGTTGTGCGTTCACCCCAAGTCGAGTCTCTGTCCCCATTTCTCCCTCAGACCATCCTCCTGTCCCCCACCCCCCGGCAGACACCACTCTGTCGTCCAGTCCACGACTGGTCCCCTCCACTGCCCCAGCCCCGGCCACAGCTGTCAGCCCACCGTCTGTGAGTGTGTCTCTGTTCGGCTTGTCAGTTCATTGGACCCCGTTGTTCCTAGATTGAGCAATTCAGTGACTTTTTTTTTAATCCTCACCTGAGGATATTCTTCCATTTATCTTCAGATAGAGTGGGAGGGAGGAAGAAGGAGAAAGAGAGAAACATCGATATGAGAGAGACACATCCACTGGCCGCCGCCCGCACAACCCTGACCAGGGCCGGGGACGAACCACAGCCAAGGCACCTGCCCTTGACTGGAATCGAACCCACGACTCATTGGTCTGTGGGCTGATGCTCTAACCACTGAGGAAAACTGGCCAGGCCAGTTCAGTGACTTTAATCAGGGCTGTTAGACTGTGGATTTGACCCACCTGACTCTTCATTGCCGCCTCCCCATGGCCCCCAAGCTGTGTGGTCCCCTCGTTCTGACATGCCAGGTTCCCTGCAGCTTTGAAACCTTTGTGTGGGCTTTTCCTGGCAAGAGTGCCCTGCAGGCCCCTGACACCCTGGCCGGCTAACTCCCGCCCACTGTCCGAGTCTCAGCACGAATGTCCTTCTCTGTGGGAGTCTTCTCTCTTCTCCTCTCCGGCCCGAGACACGAGGGGCCCTTCTGTGCCCGCCCCCAGCGGTCCGTGTCACCACACCTCTTACAACTCTGCACAGCCGAGCCGACATGTGGTCAGTGCTGTGCGTGCAGTCCATGCGTGTGATGTCCTTCTTCCGGGAAGGTGCCGAGAGTGTCCTCCGCTCTGGGACCGCACCTCTTCTGCTCACGGTCACACATATCCTCAGAGTTTGGCACAGTCCCCAGCCCTTAGACGAACTTAATACATAAAGACACACACGCACACCCGTGTGTGTGGACTTACATGTCTGCATACGTGCACACAGGCGGCGTGGACTGAATGCCTGTGTGTGAATGTACATACACGCACGTGTTAACCAGCAGGACAGTTACACTCCTCACTGCCCTCTGGCATGTCACCGCTTTTGAGTCCGCTTTTCAGGTTCAGGAGAGAATGCGCAGGTACAGTTAGTGGCTAAAAGGGCGGACGGACGAACAGGGATTAAATCACAGCCTCCCCTCCTGCAGGGAAGAAGTTCGAGAATACCGAGATGTTCGGTCAGTACCCGCTTCAGGTCAATGGGTTCAGAGATCTGCATGAGTGCCTGGAAGCTGCTATGATCGAGGGGGAAATCGAGTCTCTGCATGCGGAGGGCTCCGGAAGGTCCGGCCAGGAGGTGAGTGGCGTCTGCGTCCCCTCCCCCGGGGCTGTCCCAGGTCGAGGCCCTGCAGCTGCCTGCTGACCCAGGGCGATGCTCTCGGTGTGTGTGCAGCGCCTGCTGCTGATGTCCACCGGCAGGTGCGGGACCTGCCCACGCCGAATCGGCAGCCCCACACCCCTCTCTTCGTGAAATTGCCGCCGAGTTTTGCGAAGGGCAGGTGGAGGGAATGACTCTCTTCGGAAGGAAATGATGCACAAAATATGTTGCAGACCTGTTCATCTGTGTCCACCGGAGTCTGTCTTGCCGCCAAACTCTGGCTGTCCATACGTACACGTGGATACATTATGTGTCCACTGGGGAGCAGGGTTACAGTAGGCAGGGTCTCGAAGGTCAGTCACCGTCGCGCGGTTGCTGAGAGGCATCTTTGTGAGCTGGGCGCCCGCTGTGTCCTGCGGATGGTGCGGTGACCGCAGACAGAGCTGCAACATCCATGCTTCCGACTGCCTGACATGTCTCAGTGTTACCCAAAAGGTGTCTGAGGGCGTTACCCCAATAGAGGCTTCATAAATACTGGGATGCTGTCTCTGTGTTTATCTAAAAAGGGGCTGGGTTCTTGTATCTTTGAGAATTAATTGGTTTTGTCTGAATTGTGCACTTTAAAAAATAAAAAAAAGATGTAATGAACCAATTTTGGTTCTAACTTCTTTCCTCAAACACTCAAACAAAACCAGAAATAAATAGTAATTTTTTATTTTTTTTATCCTCACCCGAAGACATTTTTGCATGTGTCTTCAGATAGAGGAGGAGGGAGCGATGGAGGAAGAGAGAGAGAGAAACATCAGTGTGAGAGAGACACATCGAGTGGCTGCCACCCACACGACCCCAACCGGGACAGGCGACAAACTGCAACCAAGGTACGTGCCCTTAGCGGGAACCGAACCCTGGACTTTCCGGTCCTCAGGCCGATGCTCTAATCACTGAGCCAAACTGGCCAGGGCAGAAATATATAGTATTTATTATTTAGGTTGTTTTTTTTTTAAAGAGAACATGTAAAATAATGTTTCTCTCTGTATCACAGGTGGTCTAATTCTCAACAGATGCCAGGCCCCCCTCAAAGCTGTCAAAGCAGAATCCAGGGTAGGGCTGTACATGGCTCAAGGGCTCACAGGTGATTCCGATATAGACCTGAAATTAAGACTTGAAATTAGGCTTATTTATTTTATTGATTGGGAACAGATCTCCAAGAATTGGGACTTTCCCAGGATCCCACAAGGGAACTAGAAAATAGACCTAGTTTGGCCGGTGTGCTCAGTGGTTGAGCGTCGACCCTGCACCAAGAGGTCGCAGGTTCGATTCCCGGTCAGGGCACATGCCCAGGTTGTGGGCCTGATCCCCAGTGGGGGGTGTGCAGGAGGCGGCCAGTCCATGTTCTCTCTCATCGATGTTTCTATCTTTCTCCCTTCCTCTCTCTAAAAATCAATAAAGAAAAAAGTTTAAAAGAAAATATTAGGCTAATTGGAAAAACGCTAGACGCATTTTAGGCTTATTTCTAAATTGTCATAATCCCTGATAGCAACGTTATTTAGTAAAATTTGTTCATTTTACTTTGATACAGAAAACATTTTTTTTTTAAACTGAAATAGTGTTGTCAGCTAATTAGGAAGACCTTTCGTCTCTAGAATCACTCATGTTAACACAGTCTGCAGGCTATAAGATTTTAAATGTCTGGAATAAGATAACAAGACAACTGAATACATTAAAATGATTATATGTAAGAGAAATACTTCTATAAAATACGTTTCTAAAATATGTTTTTAAGGTAAATGGGTAAAGACAATTTGATGACTGAACTAATTTTTGAATTGGAACAAAAAGTGTTTGATTCTCATTCCTAGTTCACCTCCTGGCTCTGTGGTGTCCTCGGGGGGATTTGGGGTGCCAGTCTGGTTGTGTGCCAACCCCTGCGTTCATGGCATGTCACAAAAGCAAGGTTTACAACATATAAACAGAAAAGTCAGCTGTTACAACACATAAAAATGACTATTCTCTTTAGAAAATATTTATGGTAACAGGTCAGATTTACAGTCATAATCAATTTAGAAGCACCTGTGCTGATTATATAAGTTATTTATTCCTAAATGGCATCAATCTATTACTCCTGTAGATTTATTATATAACATAATAATCATACATATGTTAGGGGAGGTGGAGAATATAGGCATCACTTTTACCTTTAAGTCCTGTCTCACAAGCCGTGACATGCCACTTAGATTGAAGAAGTAAATATGATTTGTATTGCGTGGGGAAATGACATTTTGAAAGAAAAAAGTCTCATTGTTTCACTTACTTTTCTAGTTATGCACCTACTGTACCTAAGGGCTAAAATCACAGAGCTGGAGATGCCTGTGACATTTCCAAAGCGATCTAGGGCCTGCCTGGCTGACTGACCACCGTCGGTGTGTGCACAAGGACGTGAGGTGCTCCGGTGTCCTTAGCGGGAAACGCCGTCCTTGGGGGTAGCGACACGCGCTCGCCAGGGGCGGGTGTGAGCTGTGGTCACTTCCCAAGCGCGGAAGCTCTGCCCGGGCTCTTTGTGGACTACAGGGAAGCGTATCCCCAGCTGAGTCATTTCATTTCCACCGGCCGTTGGAGGTTCCCGTGACTTCAAGTAGAGGACTGTTTCATTTTACGGCTGGCTTTTGAAGTGTTGCAATAAAATGTGAAAGTAATAGGTCTTGCAATCTGCTTACATACTTGTTTGAATTGCGTAAAATGGAGGAGGAAATGACATCATAGGGCATTACAAGTTTTTTGTGTGTGATACACATAGGATATATTTTCATTATTTTAAAAAATTTTTTTTCCTTTATTGATTTTATAGAGAGAGATAGAAACATCGATGAGAGAGAACACCAACTGGCTGCCTCCTGCACGCCCCCCACTGGGGATCGGGCCCACAACCTGGGCATGTGCCCTGACCGGGAATTGAACCTGCGACCTCTTGGTGCAGGGTCGATGCTCAACCCCTGAGCCACACTGGCCGGGCTATTTTAGTTCTTAATAGTAATTTGAGGTGTGGATTAGGGCTAATTTTTGCCAATGTCATGCAAGAACAAAATAAAGAAGCAAATCTGTTTAGGAGATTTTAAAACCTAAAAGATGGCCCTGGCCAGTTTGGCTCAGCGGTTAGAGCGTCGGCCTGCGGTCCAGAGAGACCCGGGTTCGGTTCCCGCTAAGGGCACGTACCTCGGTTGCAGTTTGTCCCCGGCCCTGGTTGGTCGTGCGGGTGGCAGCCACTCGATGTGTCCCTTCACGTCGATGTTTCTCTCTCTCTCTCTCCCTCCCACTCTATCTGTACAAAAAATGGAAAAATGTCCTCAGGTGAGGATAAAAATAAAAAATAAAACCTAAAAGATGTTTCTGGTATTGGATCTTTCATAATTTTCTCTAGTCAGCTTCAGGAAATACCCATATAGAAAATAAATTCCTGAAACCTCAACGTTTAGTAAAAGATAAACCAAATTCAACTTAGGGAATCTCAGTTCAGGTAATCATTAGCATTTGGGGAGGGAGAAGCCGTTCGAATCACTGTTTTATTAACTTTATTTTGAGAAAAGGAGCAACTTTGAAGATTTTCGTTAAATCCAGTTTGCTACATGTGCGTCATTCCTGCTTTTTTTGGATGCTTGAATTCAAATGAGTGTACTCGCAACGTATTGACATCTGTGTGATGTCGTTTTTTGACAGTTGAAAACACCCATAATGTAGTATAGAGCAATTTATTTTCGTAGTATCAAGAAGCCGTACATTGCATGGTTGATAATAAGCAATTGAAACATATTTGTTACATTGTTTTAAGCTTCTGTATCTGTCTATTCATAATTTGTCATTTTCCTTTCTCTTTAAGTAATGTTTATATAAAACTTGCATCTCTTTTACAAAAAAGAATTTTTTTTGAAGTTCTGTTGTATTTCATGCTTAACTGAACAGTTACCAGTTTGTGGAGGAGTTGGTTTATAGCAATGAAACATTTAATTTGCTAAATACTAGTTATTGAGAAATATTTCAAATGTAGTTACCGTAACTATTTATTAATGACAGATCTTTTTCTTAAATTAGTCAGATTTCTTGTAGGAAAAGTAAATTTAAAACAGTTTCTAGTTGTTAGTGATACACATAGGAATTGTGATCATTTATGCTGTAAACTTTTATTTTCCTTTCTATCCTGCATCTTGCAACTTTGTCACAGCTTTAGCAATATGGTCCTTGTGACAAGTATCTGCTGTTGATGGTAGTAAGAGGGATATAATATTGAAGAAGGCAAAAGACTTGAGCTACTGAGTTGTGATTTGAACCAAGGCCTTTCTCTGTGGGTTGCTAATTCTAATGTAAGGAATTATCATGAGAGAAGGAGAGGTGTCAGGAGATTTTTCTTTCCTGGTTGTATGTTATCTGACATCCTTGGAATTTTCAAGAGGTGTGAAAATTTGGGGGGAAACTCTGAGTTTTATCTAAGTACCAGTTTTTTGTGACGTCAGCATTGCGGTGATGCGTATAAAAATGGCATTGTCGACACCCTGTGCCTAAAATTGGAGTGGAGAAGACAGAAGGAGGGTACTAAGGTTTCTAATTATTGTTTTCTTTCAGCATTGGTTTACCGAACTACCGCCCGTGTTAACATTTGAATTGTCACGGTTTGAATTCAATCAGGCATTGGGAAGACCAGAAAAAATTCACAACAAATTAGAATTTCCTCAAGTTTTATATCTGGACAGGTATGGTTTGGCATACAGCATGACTTCGCTTTGAAACAGTTTTGTAACCAAGGAAGAATTACTGTGTTTAGAGAAGAATTTTGTTTAATTTTTGTAGAATTTTTACTTTGTGCATTAATATATCTAGTAGCATTTGTCAAGAAATGGTATAGTTACTGGAAATAATGTGATAAGGAAGTTTTTTTTTTTTAATTATTTTTTGTATTGTAATTCTGTCAGAAATTTTCAGAAATACTATTTTTTACTGTCTGACATTTTATTATAAAATTTTGAATGAATTGATCTTCTGTGATATTGCCTAGACAGTATTGTACCTACTTCCCTGATATTTAGAAATGCTAATGACTCCTATTTGTCTTTTTCCTGCAAGATACATGCACAGAAATAGAGAAATAACAAGAATTAAGAGGGAAGAAATCAAGAGACTGAAAGATTGCCTTACAGTATTACAACAAAAACTAGAAAGGTATTGCAACTTTTACAGAATTGTGAGCTAACTATAGAAGTTCATGTTTTCAGTGATTATCTAGAATCTTTAATACTTCCTTTTTCTGGAGTAATTTATGATTTTAGGACTAGGTAGATACTCATTCTGCATGGATAGTTTTGCTTGTCTAGTTTCGTTTTGAATTCAAGAAACAAGTCATTTATAGTTGCGTGAGAAGATTATCTTGTTATTTAAAATGAAATATTCTCCCCAACAACAGAAAATGCTTCTGGTGCTGAAAATAGACGTAAAGATAAACTAAGTTACAATTGAGGTTTCTTCTTTCATGAGAGTAAGTGTTACTCTTGAGATTTCCTGTGCGGGGCATGGTGCCTGGGTCTCCTCTGGAACAGGGGGTGCAGCCTCGGATCCCTGCAGAGCTAGTGGGCGCTTTGGGAAGGAGGCTGGCAGCCAGACACGTGGTGGGCAGGCCGCCCGGAGGGCACCCCTTGGAGAGGCAGTGGCCGTCCCCCACGCGAGTGGGTGGTGTCCTGACAAATGTCATCTCAATGTCGTAGAGTGTCAAGTTGTTTCCGGAAGCCAGCGTCTGGACTCCAATGGTCTGTCCCTCGGGTCACGTCCCCGAACGTGCCTGGCAGGGGCCAGCTGGCCACCTCTGAGCTGATCCTCATTCCCGGGTCTTAGTGTTCATTGAACACCCTGCAACGTTTTTATACAAACTAATATATCCTGTTTCAGTCATTCTTATTCTTCAAAGGTAACCATAGCAATATTGAAAAATAGTCCGAGGTAAAACAACAGGAAGTGACTGCCAGTCACTGTGAAACCAGATGACACGGCTGAAAAATATAAATAGTCTCAGGAGACGAAACTGTCCGTTTGTATTTTCCGATTGGGTTACAAGTCAGGGCAGCAGGAACGTTTGCAACATTGTAACCCACACTCGGCCCCATCCACCTTGGTCTCCTTCCTTTGGCCAGTGTTTAATTTATTTCTGGAATGTATGCTTGATCTTATTATCTTCATTTGAAAATTAATTTCATTGTTGGGAAAGATTCATTGAAGTATTTGTATCGTGTTTTATAAAAATTATTTTAGAACGCCCTGGCCGGTTTGGCTCAGCGGTTAGCGCATCGGCCCTCGGACCAGAGTCCCGGGTTCGGTTCCCGCCAAGGGCACGTACCTCGGTTGCAGTTTGTCCCCGGCCCCGGTTGGGGTCGTGTGGGTGGCAGCCACTCAATGTGTCCCTCTCACGTCGATGTTTCTCTTTCACATCGATGTTTCTCTCTTCCTCCCTTTCTCCCTCCTGCTCCGTCTGAAGATACATGCAAAAATGTCCTCGGGTGAGGATAAAAAAATGAATCAATAAATTACTAAATAAGCAACCGAATGTGCTTTGTATGCAGATGAAAGCTTTCATGCCTTTTATGGTCAACAGATACTTAAGCTACGGCTCGGGGCCCAAGCGGTTCCCACTGGCCGACATCCTGCAGTACACCATGGAGTTCGCGTCCAGCAAGCCTGTCTGCGGCTCTCCGGTCGATGGCCTGGATGCCACGCCCCCTCCCTGCGGCTCCGCCCCGCCCCAGGCCGCGCCAAGGTGAACAGAGGGCTGTGCTGTGTGAGCACCCTGGGGGGGGTGCCCTTGGAAGAGGGCTTTGGGAGATGCCTGTGGTGATCGCTTTTCAAGAACGCGGAGCAGATTCACGCAGGACTGTGCGTGTGGTCTGGGTGCTTTATTTTGCTGCATTTATGGATTTTTCTATATATATATACTTTAGGTTGTTGGGGTATGTTACCTGTTGCAATCTTTTATCCATCAAAATAATGCTATTAAACTAGAATTTTCTTCTAGAATGTAAGGCTCGTATTAGCAAGGAGAGAGGCCTTTGTAACATTGGTACACGTAAGATTTGTTGGTTTGTTGTTGTTTTTTAAGTAGATACGATCAGGCCATTTCTACTGTACAGGCAGGTTCTTCCTCATAATAGCGCAGCCCCCAGATGGTAAGGATGCCGTTAGGGTGTTAGATCACTCCGCATCTCTCCTTGTTTTAAGGCCTTTCTCGTTGGAAGGATAGGCCATTCATACTTGCTAACTGGGCACAGCCTTGGCCGGAGCTTGGCCGGAGCTTGGCCTGAGCAACCCTTTTCTGCTCTCCATGCAGCACAGCCGAGCAGCAGGCGGCTCCGTCCTCAGAGCTGCCGAGGACCCCGCCCGTCCCTGCAGGCGCCGTGCCTTCCAGGTCGGTGATTCACAAACCATTCACCCAGTCCCGGGTACCCCCGGACCTGCCCATGCACCCCGCACCCAGGCACATCACGGAGGAGGAGCTGTCGGTGCTGGAGAGCTGTCTGCACCGCTGGAGGACAGAGATAGAGAATGACACCAGAGGTAAGCCCCGGAGGACGGCGTGTGACGATGGCACTGGAGACGCACGGGCTCTGGATGGGGCGCGCCCACGTCAGCCCTTTCTGGAAGGGTTTTCTGAAAGGCCAGCCCTCCTGGCTTTCCATCTTCGTGACCTGGATGGCGGTTCGGAGACGGACGGCCTTTCCCTGGATTGCTTGGCCCATCCGCGACAGGGCAGACGCCCGATTTCCTCCTTAGTGCCCTGAACCCCCATCACACGGGTGCCCCAGCTCGTTCCGGCGGGCGCCGCCCTGCAGGTGTGGCTCACAGATCCGAGCGCGCCCTGAGGTTTGCACGAGGTCAGGCTTGAGAATTAGAAATGCGAATTGTAATCGGCCGTCTGCTCGTGAGATGTCCAGACGTGACGAGAGCCCAGGGCCAGCCTGGGACGAGTGTCCCTGGCACGAAGCAGCAGAAGATGAGGTCAGTGCTCCGGGGCGCGTGTGGCTGGTCCGTCGCCACCTGCCCTTTCTTGGAAAGAGCTCACCTTTGTTCTGAAGTGACCTCCTTCCTGCCCTACTATGTTAAAACATCCCTGTTTAAAAATAATAATAATAATAAAGTGACATCAATAATTTAGGGTAGGTTTTATTGTAATTCTTGTAACATATCAAAAGTGGGATACCCTAATACTGTCCCCCAATTTGATCCTAATTTTACTGCCTTATGGTAAAAGAAAAAACTAGGACTTTTGAAACTGAAGATTTAAAATTAAAAACAACTGCTGTTTTATACCAAAAGGTTGGAACTATATTAAACAATATTGATGGTTAGATTTTATGGGCTTAGTTTGATGCTGTGTACTCAATAGATAAATAAAAAGCAGTCCTTATTTATTTATTTTGATTTTTTTAAAATTCTTTATTGATTCTAGAGAGGGAGAGAGAGAAACATCGATGAGAGAGGACATCCATTGGCCGCCTCCTGCATGCCCCCCATTGGGGATCAGGCCCACAACCTGGGCATGTGCCCTGACCGGGAATCGAACCAGTGACCTCTTGATGCAGGGTCGACACTCAACCACAGAGCCACACCGGCCGGGCAAAAGCAGTCCTTATTAAATAGGGAGTTAATAGTATATGATCGTGACTAACAATTAGCGTTAGTAAAGGAAAAGTATGATTTCTCTTAGCCTTTTTCATACATGAGGAAATCTCATTTACGTTTATCAGCACATGTTGATTAAGCATGCAGTTTTCCTGAGCACTGCCCAGTTTGGGATCTTGTTCTTCTGGACTTGGCAGATTGTGTTTGTTTTGTGTTTTATTTATTTTATTTTATTTTTTCATTATCATTTGTCCCCTCTCTACCCTCCTCCACCTCCACTCACCCCCCACACCCCATAGTCTGCACACTGTTGTCTGTGTCCACGAGTTCTCTCTCTTTCTTCCTTCTTTGCTCAATCCGTTCACAACCACCCCTCCCTCACCCCACCAGCGCTGTGTGCCTTCTCTCTGTCTGAGTCTGTCTGTATTTCCCTTGGTGGTTCCGTCTGTCCATCAAATTCCACATAGGAGGGAGACCATGTGGTACTTGTCTCTCTCTCCCTGGCTTAGTTCACTTAGCATCATGCTCGTCAGGTCCATCTGTGCTGTCACAAAGGGCACAGTTTCCTTCCTTTTCATGGCAGCGTAATATTCCACTATGTAAAGGCACCACCACTACCAGCCTGAGAGCGCTGGTCTCTCAGCGTTCTCCCTGGCCCTGTGGTAGCCTGATAGTTGAGCAAAAATGTAGTTTGCTGTCTTACAATTTCCTTAATGACCGGTGAAATTCATTTTTCTATAAATTTCTTGTTTGTGACATCTGCCCTTTGTTTACATTCAACCATTTGTCATTGTCTTACGGCTTTATAGAAACTAGCCCTGTGGGTATCAGCCTGTTGCCTGACGTGTACTGCGGATACTATTCTCCTTGTTGGTCGTTGTCATTGGACTTTCTGATGTTGTTGGGTTTGTTTTTATCATGTGGATCTTCTTAAGTTTGGGGACGCAGCCTTATCTTTTTTATGGTTACTTGATTTTCTGTCAGGCTTAGGAAGGCCTTCCCACACGCTCAAGTGACTGGTATCTTTTTGTGATTTTTCGTGGCTTCTTCCTGACTCTTTTCAACAGGTTTGTAGTCTAGGGTGGTTGTGTCGTTATACCACAGCCTACTGACAGATTCCAGGGTGGTCTCAGTTTTAAATCATGTGGACAGCATGGCTCTGAGCATCCCTGTCTGAATGATTCTGTAGGTAGATTTCCACTGGAAGGAGAAGTAACGAGTGATGTGAGTCTTGGAACTTTATTTCCGCTGGTGATTGTGGTGAATTTTTATTTGATTGTGCATTTATATAAGATTGACAGTGAAGTTATGGTATTCTAAGGTTTTTCTGTTTTATATAAACAGGCAAGAGGGTTTCGCTGTCATTTACGTGAAAAACGTTTTTATAGATATGAACCAAGTTCCGTTTTATTGGTTCCGCACATTTAACCTTAGGTGTTGAAGTTAAAGACAACTGTGTTTTCATACGGACTCCACATAGTGTTTTTAAAACGGTTTTAGGACGTGGTTTTTACTCGGACATATTGGTAGGAAAACCTTTCATCTCTATCATAGAGGTCTCCGTACAAACATACTTAATGTTAATCATTAAATGACACCTTCTGTTCTCAGATTTGCAAGAAAGAATATCCAAAATCCATCGAAAAGTTGAACGAATGTACTCGGACAAATCTATGATCCAAGTAAGTTAAATTCCTAGCTAGTAATCATTATAAAAGATATTTACTTTTTTTTTTTTATCCTCACCCGAGGACATTTTTCCATCCTCTGTTCAGATAGAGTGGGAGGGAGAGAGAGGAAGAGAGAGAGAGAGAAACATCGATGTGAAGGGACACATCGAGTGGCTGCCACCTGCACAACCCAACCAGGGCCGGGGACAAACTGCAACCGAGGTACATGCCCTTAGCGGGAACCAAATCTGGGTCTCTCTGGACCACAGGCCGACGCTCTAACCGCTGAGCAAAACCGGCCAGGGCGGTATTTACATATTTTATTTATCTTCACCAAATTCTTCTTAAATGTTTTGTTATAAAGTTGCTGAACTAAATTTAAGGGGCCGTATTAATATTTCTCCATTCAGTTCTATTCCCATACTACATGCATTGCTTACTCTTTTATTATTTTTAATAATACAGTTTATCAGAATTTTCCCTAATATTTAAAAATAAAATGACAGAATTATAAGGTTGTTTAAGGATATTAAGATCGTGGGAGAAAGTGTAGGATTGTATATTTTAAATCTGGCGTACTGTAAGTAAGCCATTTCGGTGAGCTCAGCCATCCGCTTGTACTTGTGAAGAGTTAGACAGACCACGTGCTTTATCGAAAACGATGTATGTTCTTGATTCAAAAGAAAGAACTGAACTGCGTCAGCACACACATACCTACAAACACATTTTCAGAGTTTTGAAAATGGTCCTGTTCACACACCTGTCTGCTTTCCACGTCTTCAGCATATGTCCCGTTTTATTATTTCATAGTTTCATTATTTTTTCAAACTCTTCTCCTCGGCCAGCTTCCTGTGGTCAGGAACGTGCGGCCCTGCGGTCCCCGGAGGCCACGGACGCTCAGCGGCAGGCCGCCTGACCGCGCGCCTCTGTTCTGCTCCCTCCAGGTCCCGTACCGCCTGCACGCCGTTCTGGTGCACGAGGGCCAGGCCAGCGCCGGGCACTACTGGGCCTACATCTTCGACCATCACGAGCACCGGTGGATGAAGTACAACGACATCGCCGTGACGAAGTCGTCGTGGGAGGAGCTCGTGAGGGACTCCTTCGGGGGTTACAGAAACGCCAGCGCCTACTGCTTAATGTACATAAACGACAAGGCACAGTTCTTGATACAAGGTGAGGCAGGACACGTCCGGGGGTGGTCGAAGGGGCCCTGTTACGTGGCTCTGGTCTCTGGTGTGGTCCGTTAAGAATCACTCACCCAGGGGGTGATGGGGAGGACGGCATAGTGCCGGGTTGTTGCAGGTAAACTGGACTTGAAAAGAGGCAGAGCCCTGGCCGGTTTGGCTCAGTGGTTAGAGCGTCGGCCTGCGGAACAGAGAATCCTGGGTTCGGTTCCTGCTAAGGGCATGTACCTCAATTGCAGTTTGTCCCCGGCCCGGGTGGGTCGTGTGGGTGGCAGCCAGTCCGTGTGTCTCTCTCACATCGATGTTTCTCTCTCTCCCTCCCGCTCTATCTGAAGGTGATTGCAACAATGTCCTCAGGTGAGGATACAAAGTAAAAAAAACAAAAAAGAGAAAGTAACATGACCAGGGCCGAGAATTGGAATGTATTTTCTATTCAAAGTTAACTATTTACGAACTATTATAGACTGTCAATCTGACGTGTTTCTCTCCGCTTTAATGACTCCGTCACACGTGTCCCTTCCTTGACATCGACGACCTCCATCCTCTGGCCTCTGACTGTCCGTCCGTTTCAGGCTGCTGTTCGGACTGTGGCTGTGTGGTGCTCACAGCTGATCATTGCTTTCACACGTTTCTGTCTACGTGTTCTTAGGTTTTTCTGTTTGTACCTTTTGCCGGTAATGTTCTTGCTTCTTTTGCCTAATTCCTGCTCATCTGTTGAGATCCACTGTACATGTGACAAGGTTTTCCTAGTCTGCCAGCAAGCAGCCCTCCTGTGTCCCCACCCTCCCCTCCCCCCACCGCCCGCCACACCCCACACACGCCACACACCCCCCCCACCCCATCGGGCACTCACTGTGCTGGGGCTGACCTGCCTTCTCTCTTCACTCGGATCTGCTCGAACCGGGGACCATGCCACACACTGTCTTACTCTTTTCATTTTTTATATTCTTTTTTAACCTCACGCGAGGACATTTTTCCATTTTTTGTTCAGACAGAGAGGGAGGGAGAGAGAGGAAGAGAGAGAGAGAGGGAAACATCGACGTGAAAGGGACACATCGAGTGGCTGCCACCCGCACGACCGACCAGGGCCGGGGACAAACTGCAACCGAGGTACATGCCCTTAGCGGGAACCGAACCCGGGTCTCTCCGGACCGCAGGCCGACGCTCTAACCACTGAGCCAAACCGGCCAGGGCTATTTTTTATATTCTAATACCGGCTTTGCATGTGGAAAACACTTAATAAAGGTTTGTTGAAACTGATCAAATCAGCTTTCCTTTTGGATTTAACCATTCAGCAAGACTAGCTATGACGTCTACTCTATTTTGTATGTGTGGAGTAGAAATGGAATAACTGGTTTAAATAATGCTTATGCAATGTTTATTTTTTTAATTTTTCTTTAATGATTTTAGAGAGAGGAAGGGAGAGGGAGAGAGATAGAAACATCGATGAGAGAGAACATGGATTGGCCACCTCCTGCATGTCCCCCACTGGGAATGGGGCCCACAACCTGGGCATGTGTCCTGACCAGGAATCGAACAGGTGACCTCTTGGTGCAGGGTCAACGATCAACCTCTGAGCCACACCGGCCGGGCAATACTTATGCAGTGTTTTAAAAAAAAACAACCTTTCTATGTTGATTAGTTTTCAAATTGCATATAAATATATTGATATACTCAACTGCCTTGGATGGAAAATAACTTCAGTTCTGTGTTGAGCTGAATAAGGCTATGAGTCTCTCCTGGTTTTACTTCACGGATCATCCGACATCGGTGTGTGGGTCTGTGTCCGTGTCCAGTAACAGATCTGGCTTTATATCCTGGTGCAGTTCTCACTCCTCAGATTAAAAAGGGAAGCTGAGACATTGCCTGTAAAGGGTCATCCGACACCTGCCTCATTTCTCTTCGGCGTGTTTTGAGTTTTCTTCTCGGGTTTGGGTAGCGTAGATCGCAGGGGTGACCAGCCACAATTCCACCCCGGCCGACACGCACCGTTTCGAGCTCTGCGTGTTCCCTTCCGTTCTTAACCCCATGCTGGTCCTCGACTGTGCTTCCAGAGGAGTTTCACAAGGAGACCGGGCAGGCCCTGGCGGGCATGGAGACGCTGCCCCCGGACCTGCGGGCCTTCGTGGAGGAGGACAACCGGCGCTTCCAGGACGAGCTGGAGGAATGGGACGCGCAGGCCCAGGCAGCGCCGCAGGGGGCGCCGGCCGCCCAGGCCCGGAGGGAGGCTGCGGCCGCCGCAGGTGAGTCCCGCAGTAGCCGCGGCGTGTCGTCTGCAGTCATCCCCGCAGCTCCTGCAAAACAAGTTGCCTGTGGGGTGCAGCGCAGACTGCCGTTGTGTGAAAGCAGGAAGAAACTGGTCACGATGATCTGAAACTCCGTCTCCCGGAGATAAGCACAGGGCGCCGTTGAGGGGACCCTTTGCCGGGCACCCCGTGAACAGGGACGGGCGCAGCTGACCCTCGAGCGGGGCGGGGCTGGGGACCCCGCCCAAGCATTGAAAATCCGCGTGTACGTGGGTGCGCCTTTCTCGAGCCAAAGGAGATGATTCTGCAAACTCTCCCTCTGCCTGTCCTGCCTCTTTGGGCTGATGCTTCTCGGCAGGACACTCAGAAAACCTGTGAAACCCAAGAGTAATCCAAACCAATTCACGAAAGCGATCCGTAAAATGAACTTCAGTGATTTTATGTCTGAGCAGAGGAACACTACTCCACACCCATTTGGGGTATACTCAGATACATGCACTTTATTTTTTTATAATTCTTAAAATGAAAAACAAAATGACCCCAAACTAAATATTTAATATATTCCAAGTAAAAATGTGTGTAGGTCTATAAAACAAAGAGATAAACGTATAAAAATACAAATATTTAGAAATATAATTCTAAAATTATTAGCTGATGAAATCTAATACATTTAGAGTGAACGCCATACACAACTAAAGAATATATGTTCTACAACTGAAAATAGAATATGTTAAGATTTTTAAAAAAAATGTTTTCTGTATTAATTTTTGGAGAGAGAGAAAGAAAGGGAGAGGGAGAGAGAGATAGAAACATCGATGAGAGAGAACATCGACTGGCTGCCTCCTGCACGCCCCCCACTGGGGATCAGCCCACAACCTGGGCATGTGTATTAAACAGGAATTGAACCCGCGACCTCTTGGTGCTGGGTCGATGCTCAACCACTGAGCACACCGACCGGGCTGATTTTTTTTTTCTTTTTTTTTGAGATTAATTTCATCATCACTGACTTGGGAGTATGTTTTAGGGCAACATATTTCCTACTGTGGAAAAAGTCCTGTTTCTGTGCAGTAGAAGAGATGAGTTAGACACATCTTTTTCACACTCGTTTGTTTCTTTATTAGAACCCTGAATGGAACATTTTGAATGACCTCATTTTTTTTATTGATTTACTCATTTTTTTGCCAGGTGTGCGTCTTTGCTTTTAGTTGTTCAGGAAGCATTCCAGGTGTTGTTTAGGTCCTTCTTTTACGGACAGACCCCATGCAGGCTGCCTGGCTGGGTTGTAGCAGTATCCTTTGACCTTCAGAAGGAATGATTTTTGTAAAGGGAGATTCGCAATATCGCACTATTGCGACCAGTGCAGGGACTCACAGCTGTATTCAGACCTGCAACTTGCTTTCACATCGGGTGAGTAGTCGAGTCCTTGATATTAGGAGGCATTGACGTGGGATTTTTTAAAGACCAACGTGGTGGGATTGAGCCAGGAGGTAGCAACGTGTTGATAGGTGGGTGCGATCCCACTGGTGTGGTGAGCTCTGCCACTGGCAGGTCCGCGCTGTGCGTGATGACCTGTGCGTAGAGCAGGTGACACAGAGCAGGTGAGGTGCTGGCTTCACAGCTGTGCAGTTTCGTCACAGGGGCTTGGTCCACTTCAGTAGGAAACGGAACAGCTCAGCAGGTGTCTCGGAGGCTTCTGAGCTCCAGTCGGTGGAGTATCAGCCACGGTCATCCCTCCGGGCCTTCCCAAGCCACGCCCCTGAACTCGCCCCGATGTAGCCCGTGTTGGTCTTCCCCTAACACCCACACACCCATTTGCATGCGGCTGTTCTCCTTACTAGTGGGATAATTGGGGGGCTGCATAACTGGCGCTGGGCTTCGGGGGGTCAGCATTGAGGTGAAGGGAGCCCTGTGTTCATTGGCTACGCAGCACCTCTGTCCCTGGTCCGGCTGTATTTGCTGCCCCCGGAACGTGGAACCCTGTAGTCTCCTCATCTGCTCTGCTTCTCCCAGGACTCTAAACGCAAAGATCTGACACATTTTATTTCTCCGAGACTAATGTGTATTCCCACAGAAGTCCTCTCCGACGGGCCTAGCCAGCTTGGCCCCCCACTTCCATTTGTCATCTGCTTTTTCTCCGTACAAAGACCCCAGCGGTAGATTCCACACCCGTCCTCCTGATCCGTCCCTCCCACCGCCTCTTCGTGTGCTGCTCTGTGCTGTTAAGCAGTTCAGAGTAGGCGGTGGGCATCGATTTCATGTCTCTCTCTTTAGTATAAGGGAGAACAGCTGGGAGAGAACGCAGGTATTTCGGGGAGCAGCCCGAACCAAAACGGGCTTCAGAGAGCAGCGTGATGCCACCGCGGGAGACACGGTCCCCGGGAAGTGTCGACACCTGCGCCCTGAGTGGGGAGAAAGAAGGAAGTGCTCACTTTACACGCTGGGGCGTGAGCGTGTTGGTGAAAAGTTTGGTCTTTATTTCTGCGTTATTTTACATAGCACGTGAAGAAAGGGGTCTCGTGTCGCAGGGGAATTGAACGTGTCAGTGCCGAATGAGGGAACTGCTTATCATGTTTGCTGGGACCACGTATCTGCTGTCATGAGTAGACAGGTTTTTCTTGAATGCCCATGTCATCTTCTTCCTATTTCTCGCCACGGTTTTCCAAGTGATTGGTTTAATTTGGTAGAATACTTTCAAAATATCAAAGAAAGCCTGTATCGGAGTCTCCTAGGTGTCGGCCAGGATTCTGAGGGACTAGAAAAGAAATACAGGATACTGTTGCTGAAAAAACCCATCAGAGTGATCATCTTCCCTCCTTGCAGATATTCTCCAATAAAATTAACATTATAGCTATTAAAATCCTATTTCTGAGTGATATCCCACTAAGAATAGTAACTGATACAGTATTAATTAAATCAGTATTTGTTCTTCTGCCAACATGTGAAACCACAGACATCATTTCTGTAACATCATCATTCATGACCTTCTGCAGCAACGTGATAAACGATGGGGCAGTATTAGCTGATTAATCTCACGCTACCTCCCTTGCCTGCTTACAAGGAGAACTTCCCTGGACCCTTATGTTTGGAGATCTAGCCAACAGTTTTTTGTTGTTTTTTTTTTTAACATATCACCCGAGGATATGTTTTTATTGATTTTTAGAGACGGAGAAACATCGATCACTTGCCCCCCACACACTCCCTGACTGGGGATCAAACCCACAGCCTTGTGCACAGGACAACATTGTATCCACCTGAGCACCCAGCCCGGGCCAGCCCACCGTTCTTTGCTGTGGGTGCTCAGAATTACCTGGGTTTTTTCCTGAGAATAAACAGCACCCCCAGCCGAATACTACCTAAGACTTACGGGGATCAGAGTCTCTGGAAGAAGGGTCCAAAATAAATGTATATTTGAAAGACCTTCGGATAGTGCGAGGTGTGCCTCCGATGAAGCACGTCGGCTCTAGGCTGTGTGTGCGAAACCAGGAGTTAATGTGAAGCAGAGAGGACCTGTGAGTGGCTCCTTATCTACTCGGGGTCCCCCCGTGCCACTAAACATTACTTCAGGTTCTCACAGCATATGTAACATACTCAAAGGAAAGAAAAAGAAAACAAACAACAAACATTAAGGCAAGAATGGTCGGTGCTGGTGTGAAACGGGTCCCGTGAGAGTTCATGAAGTCGTCCAGAGGTGCACGCAGAGCGGCCCCGGGACGGTCCTGCAGATCCCGTCTGAGAGCTGAACCCCGCTGGTGTTCCGGACAGTCCCGTGGGTTCCCCGTCGGGTTCCGAGCTGAGGCCTGGTGGGAGGATCAGGTTCCCGGGTTCACCCGTCCCTGCAAAGAGGAGCTGGGTGAGGTTCCCAGGGTGGCTCTAGAATCCAGTGCAGTGAGTGACACTAAGTGGCCTTGGAGTGTTTTCTCACTGGGTCCTTCCCCGTGGAGATTTCAGTAACAGGGACGCCATCATCTACAAGCACAGCCGAGGCCTGGCCGGTTGGGCTCAGCGGTTAGAGCGTCGGCCCGCGGACCAGAGAGTCCCGGGTTTGATTCCGGCCAAGGGCACAGACCTCGGTTGCGGTTCGTCCCCGGCCCTGGTTGGTCGTGCGGGAGGCGACCAGATGATGTGTGTCTCTCACATCGATGTTCTCGCTCTCTCCCTCCCTCCCTCCTCCCCACACTCTCTGAAGATAAATAGAAAAATATCCTCAGGTGAGGATGTAAATAAACAAATAAATAAACAATACAGCCAAAATTGCTACACGCCAGGGAGGCGGGCTAAGCTGTGTGATGCAGATGTCACTCTGTCCTGGATACATTTTAGGTCTAACTGGCTTTTCCGCCTCTGCCCATCCCCCACTCCCGAGACTCCGAGCGTGGTGGCACCGGGAACTTGAAGCTTACGTTTCCGGCCGCTGCCTGTAGCCAGCCTGCCGTGGCTCTTCACAGACCCCTTTGGGCAGCCCCTGACTTTAGTGGCGTTTTTAGCAGGGAAGGGACTCCGTATCCTTAAAGCCGTCCTCTTAAATGTTCTTCAAATGTGCGTATAATGAATCGGGCTCGTCAGTAAGTCAAGGTTGTAGGTAGTTCAGGAAGATAGGTGATGTTGCTTTTTAAAAAGAAATGGTTTATTAAAGAGCAGATCCTCACCTTTCGCAGAGAGCCGAGCGGTCGTCCGTTGACTCTGCTCCTAAGCCGTCGGCGGCATGACCAGGACGTACACTTCGGAGCCCCCCCACCCCCAGGCTCGTGCGTCCGCGGGAGAGTCGGCGGCATGACCAGGACGTACACTTCGGAGCCCCCCCGGCTCGTGCGTCCGCGGGAGAGTCAGCGGCATGACCAGGACGTACACTTCGGAGCCCCCCCGGCTCGTGCGTCCGCGGGAGAGGGCAGCGCTGGGTCTCCAGCAACCACACGGGCGAGGGTAGCGCGTGGCCGGAACACCTCTCGCGTGGAGGGTAGCCGTCCGAATGTCCGTGGGGCACCACGGAGCAGATACCTGGTCTGAGAGATGCAGGGGCTGCTCTGTGCCTCCAGAAAGAGCTGTCATTTCTGGTGACATGAGCGCACTCGGGAGTCGGGAGCTGCAGGCAGGGGACCAGGGAGACGTCCGAGAATTAAGAATAATAAGCGATATGCCAGTGGTCACCAGCCGTATTCCAAGGTGAAGCCTGAACCAGACCTTAAGCGGAGGGACCAGCGAATATATAAAATGCCTGTTAGAACAGAAAGAAAACAGCATCGTCTCTGCCCAGCGCCTGCCGTTCATACAGGCTGGTGATGAGGGAGCTTCTGTTAAATGGAGACAAATCATCACGTGTATTTGCACACACGCAAAGCAAACGCTTTGTCCTGTTGTTTTTCACAAAGAAGTGGATTTTGCCTCGATCTATGGGAGGGTATCCGTTTCATGAGTCCTCCAGACAGAAATAAACACAGAATAACCAGTAACATTGACAGGAAAAATGTTCATTGAGTTCAAAACAGTATACTCAGAATTACTCTTTTTGTTTCAAAACAGTGGGTAGGTAAAGTCTGGAAATAGATGATAGTAAAAGTGTTAATAATGCTTATCTCTGAGGAGTGGGAAGAGCTTTTTGTGGTTCTTGTTTCAGTGGGTGGTTCTCATCAACATGTTGTTAACTCACCGGGTTGACAGAATGGAGCCCAAATGTTTTGCTGCGGTATGAGGACCCTCTGATGACCTGACTCCTTTGTCATTCTTCCCAGACTGCTCCCTAGGAGTCCCTTGTGCCTCCTCCAAAGCACATCACTCCCCAATGCTCTTGCTCTGGGGAACGTCCCTCTCATAGGGCATTGTTCATCAAGTACCCTTCTTTGGAAAAGGTCCTCTGCCCGGCCAGTGTGGCTCAGTGGCTGAGCGTCGACCCTGCACCAAGAGGTCGCCGGTTCGATTCCTGGTCAGGGCACATGCCCAGGTTGTGGGCCTGATCCCCAGTGGGGGGCGTGCAGGAGGCGGCCAGTCGATGTTCTCTCTCACTGATGTGTCTATCTCTCTCTCTCCCTTCCTCTTTCTCTAAAATCAATAAAGAAAAAAAAAAGTGTTTTAAAGTCCTCTATCAATATTCTTGAAATGTTGCCTATTCTGCAAGACCTTTCTCAACGTCTTTATGAACTCCCATGAGGTTCACCTGTTACAACTATTCCCTGTTTCTTCATTCTAATCCAGTTTCACTCTCCAATGTGTGCGGTGCTTGTATTTTTATTTGCTTAAAGACTCATTATGTAGTGAGAAGGCTCACTGAGAGCCAGGGTTTTATTATTATTATTTTTTAATCCTCACCCGAGGACATTTTTCGATATTTTGTTCAGATAGAGTGGGAGGGAGAGAGAGAGAAACATCGATGTGAAAGGGACACATCGAGTGGCTGCCACCCACACGACCAACCAGGGCCGGGGACAAGCTGCAACCGAGGTACGTGCCCTTAGCGGGAACCGAACCCGGGTCTCTCCGGACCGCAGGCCGACGCTCTAACCGCTGAGCCAAACAGGCCAGGGCGAGCCAGGGTTTTATTAATCTTGTATGTGTCTTTACGGTGCCTTTGTGTGTTACTCCTTCTGCTTCGGATCTTCCACGGCTGAGACAATCCCCTGCAAGTCCTGCGAGACTCGGCTCAGTCGGCATTGCTTCTGGGCGTTTCCGAATGGGCAGCATGACCCCCCGTGTGTGCCTTGGCCCACAGTGCTGTTGCAGGACCTCATGCGGGACGGCTGTTGCGGCCGGTACCTCCTGTTGTCACGCAGTAAGCGTTTATCTGACTGTCCTCAGAAGTCCTCAGAGTGAGTGCTCTTCACGTCAGGCATTTTTACCTTGTGGATACCAAGCTCAGTCCTGACCGCGGCACGGGCGCAGTGAACACCACCGGGAAGAGTGAGGGTTTCTGCTTCCAGATTCCCAGATCTCGCGGCCTTGCAGGTTCCCCGCTGCGACCGGCTCAGCACGCACGGGGGTTCTCTGGGAGCATCCCCAGGAGGAGCTCTGGGGAAATGGTTCTTTCTGTGCGGCAGGCAGGGCCAGGCTTTCGGCGTTACCCAGGGTTTTCGGCCTCAAGTCCCTAAGTGGACGGAGACCTTGCTGACCCAGGTACATCGGTGGTTTCGATCGGGTACCATCACTTTGCTTCTGAGAACGCATCTTGTCCAGGCTCTGGGCAGTCGGAGCGGGTCAGAGCCGAGGAGGTCCTGGCCGCACGGCGTTAGGCTCACAGGCCCCTGTGCACCTCCGGTTCTGTTCGTCCAGGCAGCGAGACCAGGGGCAGGGCAAAGTCAAGGCCTTACGAGCGAGAGTTCCCCCCGCTCAGCCCTAAAGCAGCCGGCTGGGGCGCGTATGAAGCCCACCCGAGGCAGCCCCGCTAAGCTGGAGAGGAGCCGAGTTCTCCTCACCCACGTGCAGGTCACACAAGACACTGCGGTCCAGACCCCGAGTGCCGAGTGAGACCCCAGCTTCTTGCGGCGTCTCCGCTCAGCACACACGGAGGCGGCCCTGCCTCCGGTTTCCCTCAGCGTGTGGCCCGCTCCACCACCCCCGCGCCCCCTGCCACCGCCGTGGTCGCCCCCAGACCCCATGGTGGAGTCTCCCCTCCTCCACTTCCCCAGAACGGATTATCGTAAGCGTGTCACATGCGTGATTGCTGGCCAGTGACTCTCCAAGGTCGCTGCCAGCATCACGGGGCAGAGACGGTCCCAGACCCTCGCCTGGTGCCTGGCGCATGGTGAGACGCTTAATGAAAATGTATTGCATAAGTGGGCGACTGTGCCTGCATGTTGACATTATGTTTCATTTGGAATAATATTTTTCTTTGAGAGATTTTTTTACATTAAATATTGGAAAGGATGAGAGGAGCCATGTTGTGTCCTACCGGTTGGTGGAGGAGAAGGACTCAATAACTGGAACACGTTCGTGTACTTTCTTATTCCCCACATCCATTCATTAACTTATTTAGTAATTCATTCGCCCCACCAAGTCACCGGGTGCTTTACTCTGTGCCAGGTGTTGACAGCAATACCGAAGGGAGCCAGCGTCCCTGCTCTTAGATCCGGCAGGGGTCCAGGCTGAAACATACACCTGTAAAGATAACCAAGTTGTCATTGTGGTGAGTGGTCTTAATAAGAAAGTGTAAGCTCATTGAAAGCAGCGGTTCTCCTCTGGGAGTGATCTAGTCCCCTAGGGGCTTTGACGACACTGGAAGTCACACCTGGGGACGGTGCTGTTGGCATCTCGGGTGAAAGCCAGGGCCCACGGGGCAGCCACCACACCAGACGTCGGTGGGGCCGAGGTGCAGTGTGACCGTAACCCTTGGACAAGGAAGTGCTGTTCAAACAAAAGGATAGAGCAGTTCTTAGTTGAGGACGTGAGTGGGTGAACATACAGACTCAGGAAAGAAACTAAGGCCGGATGGACGGTAGGAGCAAAATCTCTTCCATGTACTCAGGGAGCTGCAAAAAGGCTCATACACGCCCCCTTGGGGCAAAGGGCAGAAGACACAGATTGTGTTGGAGAGATGAGACGCGCCCGGGTGAAGGAACCCTTTGGGGTTGTCGGTGAGCAGGCAGTAAGTCCCTGGGGACACCATTGACCTGTGGGCCTCAGCGGCAGCACATGGGGCGATAGGTATCATTTGGGGAGGTCTTCGCAGGTGTGACACTTGAATCCTGAATGTATAGTGGTGCCCGTTTGCCAAGGCGTCGTCGTTTTTCCTCTGACGACACTCGGCTACCAGGAGGAGCAGGTTCAGAAAAGAGAAGGTCATCTCCTCCAGGTTTAGGTTTGGCCAGGCGGATGTGAAAAGGGTACTGTGGCCAGAAGGGCAGCCGGTGTGCTCTCTGGAAACCGAGTCCAGGGTGGTACACACCAAATTTTTTTCTATATTTTTGCTTAGAATGATAGTGGTTTTCCAAGGTGAGATTTTGGTACTTGGGGCAAAAAAAATGTACTATGAATTTTGTATCGTAATCTATAATGGGTGCTTTCTTCAGTAATTATTTGATTGCTTTGGGATTTTTGTTTTGTTTTGGTCCATTCTGGGGGAGGGGCTGTGTGGTGCGGCTTTGTCACTTTAAACAGATCCGTGAAATCGATCATTGCCTCACCGGGAATCGGAAGTAAATAACAGTCCTCGTTATTTTATTAGATGATTTTATTAGAGATGCAATTGATTCTTTTCTCCCGAAGCGCAAGCAGGAGAAGCAGAATATCTGGAGCAGCCGTCAAGAAATGATTTCTCAAAGCACTTGAAGGAAGAGACTGCTCGGACGATCGCCAAGGCCTCGCATGAGCACGAAGACGACAGCCCCGAGGCCGTTCTGCAGTCGGTGAGAACCTTTCCTCTGGCCCCTCGGGACCAGGGAGGGCGGCAGTCGGGGTGGTGGTGCCAGGGGCAGGCTGTGGGTCCAGGGGAACAGGGACCGAGGGCGCCACCGGGTGCCCCAGCTCTGGTGTGCTCAGCTGTGCTTTAAAAAATGATTCTTTCAAAAACCAAGTTTCTGTCTTCTTGTGAGAGGATTGTGAAACGTTACAAGCATAGATTAAATTGGATGTTTGGGAACTTAAAAGGAGAACCAGAACCTTGGGCGGTACCAGCTGACCCTGGCACGGCACGGGGGTGGGGCGCCAGCCCCCTGAGCAGTTACAAATTCGGGTATCACTTTTGACTCCTCAAGAACTGTTAACCAGAAGCCTGCTGGTAATATACGCAGTTGATTAATTATATCCCATATGTGTGTGTGTGTGTGTATACATATACATATGAAATATACTATATTCTTACAGTAAAATAAACTAGAGAAAGGAAAATGCTATTAAGAAAATCAGAAGGAAGAGAAAAATACATTCACAGTGTTTATCGAAACAGTCCACGTAGAAACGCACCACACAGTCCAAATCCATGTCGTCCAAGGGGCACCTGTATGTCTGCTGTTTCTCACCCCTCCCCCATCCCTGGCCTTGCTACATTGAAATCGCTGGGAATCAGGTTTACAGTGTCGTTGTCCTGTGGAATGTGTTTCCAATAACATACCAGATCCCTCGGAGCGGTGTTGGGACAGATACGATCTTACGGTTGATCTCTGCAGACTGCAGCAGTGCCCCGCCCAAACTTGTCATGCCGTACCCCTGTCGGCAGTCCACGGTGGCGGCCGAGGACGACCAGCTCCCGGGAGACGGTGCAGTACCGCGCGTTCCATTTACTGTTACAGTGTAGCACTGGCATCGCACGGTGTTCGGTGGGTGTGGCGTCCTGGGAGATGTTAGCTCCCGACGGTGGTGTTCCGAAACCATTCAGGAGCTGTCGCCTTACGTTCTCAGCTCAAGCAGCCCGGTGCGGGATTCACAGTAGCGAATTTCAGTATTTGAGGGCTCCCCTTCTAGAGAACTGAACAGGACAGGAGAGGATCATTTTCAGCACAATTTTCTTCTTAGTGAACGAACTTCATTCAGACGATAACCTGCTGCGTGCGCTGAGGTCTTTAAGCCCTTGATTAACCAAAATGTCCATTTATACTAGGTAGGGTGTTGTGCTCATTCTAGTTGGATGGATCAGGTACTCAGAATTACTTTTTCATTCCATTTTCTGTTTGAATAATTTTGATTATCATCTTACCATAAAAAAAAATAATGTTTTGATGTAGGGTTCTTCTTTTTTAATCTTCCCAAAGTTGCAGATGTTCTAGGAACTCCAGGTGAGCTTGAGATGAGCACCTGCACGTGGACAGAGCTCCCGCTGGGACTGCTTCCTTCCGTGGCTACGGGGCGCCTGGTTTTCGGGGGCTGGTAGAGTAGGGACACCCAAGGAGGGAGAAAAGGCAGAGAAGCAGGTACATGGGGGAAATATTTTTTCCAGATAGAAAAAAAATAATTTTCCAGGTTTTTTGCCAACTAGGATTTTTATTTGTTAGGGCTCACATTATGGTTAATAAAGAGCATCCTTTTCACTGGTACAGAAAAAGCCAAAAAGCATTTCCTAGAACTTACATGCATGTACGCATAACCAATGGACACGGACAACAAAGCCGGGGACAGGGTGGGGGTGGGGTGGGAAGGAGGGTATCAATGGGGTAAAAAAGGAGAAACATCTGTAACAAAAATAAAATTAAAAAAATAATAAAAAAATAAAAATAATAAAATGAAGACACTTCTAAAGAAAAACAAACAAAAAACAAACAAAAGCATTCCCTCACTTAACATAGAATTGTGTTGTTTGTTTTTTTTTAGTTTGGTTAAACCTGTGTGGTTCAAATGAACAGAAATCAGCACTTGAGTTTCGATCACTTAGTTTATTAATATGAGTGTCCTCTTATAAGCGAAAAAACTACTGCTCCACCCTTACCTGAGAAAGGAGGGGCGCTTGGAGAGACTGGCAGACAGCTAAGCTAGCACACGTATTTTTCCATCTGGTCTGTCTTCAGGAATAGCACCAACGCTGAGAACCACTGTTCATGTAAATCCTGCAACACGTCCAGGAAGGTGTCCGTCATGGCTGGGCAGCCTGTGTTCGCGGTCTGCCGGTCAGTGGCTTAGCATCATGGTAACCACAGCTGGGTTTTCTCCCGTAAAGGAATACTTTAGAAACTACATTGCATAGACTCAAAGAGGCTTCAGACTTTGAGGTTAGATCATCCTGATTCTTTAACATCGGTTTCACTTCTTACTGGCTGTGCCAACCTGAGTAAGTTGCTTGATGTCTCTAAACCTCGGTTTTCTCTTATGTAACGTTTCTTTGTCAGTGACTTAACGCGATGCCGTAATCATTTTCCCATGTTGTCAGTGCTGTAAAAACATGTCAGGGTCGTGTGTTCTTCCACTGTGGGATTTCCTTCCTGGGCACTTACCTATTCCCCGGGGCGTGTTCAGTTCGACTCTCACGTCATTCTAAATAGGCCGCAGGAAGTCAAACTTGTTTTCGTGGTTTGGGCTATTTCTTTAGCTTCCCCAGTTGAATGATTGGGTTAAAAGATATGAGAAATCCGGCCGGCGTGGCTCAGTGGTTGAGCGTCGACCCTGCACCAAGAGGTCACTGGTTCAATTCCCGGTCAGGGCACATGCCCAGGTTGTGGGCTGATCCCCAGTGGGGGGCGTGCAGGAGGCGGCCAGTCCATGTTCTCTCTCATTGATGTTTCTATCTCTCTCTCCCTCTCCCTTCTTCTGTCTCTAAAAATCATTAAAAAGAAAACTCTTAAAAAAAAAAAAAGGTATAAGCATCCCAAGGGGACTGGAATTGATGCAATTCTATAGCTTTCTAACCTCCCTTTTATGTGACCACTTTTTAAAAAACCATACATTTAATGACTTTCAGGCAATCAATGAAAATCTCAGTATTTTGCCCTAGCTGGTTTGGCTCAGCGGTTAGAGCGTCGGCCTGCGGTCCAGAGAGACCCGGTTTGGTTCCCGCTAAGGGCAGGTACCTCGGTTGCAGTTTGTCCCCGGCCCTGGTTGGTCGTGCGGGTGGCAGCCACTCGATGTGTCCCTTCACGTCGATGTTTCTCTCTCTCTCTCCCTCCCACTCTATCTGAACAAAATATTGAAAAATGTCCTCGGGTGAGGATAAAAAAGAAAGAAAACATTAGTGTTTCCATTACTTTTGCAACTTATTAACTGAGGAACTTATGTTAACCCTTTCCAATTTAGCCTTCGTTAGGGTGTGTATACAGGGCACGGAAAGTTTTAAAAGACAAAGATGCATTCACTGTACCTGAGTGAACCCTCATATGCTGTATACGCACCTGTTATGGCACCTTGGGTGTCTAACCCTGGGAACAGCACTGCAGAATGACTCCATGCACCCAAAGCCACTTCCCTTCTTCAGCTTGCACCCATGTAATTGGTCAGCACTAGGCTGTTGAAACGCTTCTGAGGTAACTAGACAGGTTTATAAAACGCTGATGCTTTTGCCTGGCCGGTGTGGCTCAGCGGTTGAGCATCGACCCTGCACCAAGAGGTCGCGGGTTCGATTCCCGATCAGGACACATGCCCAGGTTGTGGGCTGATCCCCAGTGGGGGGCGTGCAGGAGGCGGCCAGTCGATGTTCTCTCTCATCCATGTTTCCATCTCTCTCTCCCTCTCTCCTCCTCTGTCTCTCTAATATAGCAATAAAGAAAAAACAATTTTTTTAAACTGATTTATTTTTGTAAGTACAATTTTTTTTTCTCCCCCAAAGGGGATGCGTTGTTTTGTGAGGATCAGTATTCTGAGGAATATATTCTGCAGTTGCGACTTGCTGTCCGTTTATATTTTCTCGTCTTCAGATGGTATTGTTCTGGATTGGTTTTCTTGTGAGAAATTTTTCGCCACAATGTCCAGACTGATTTCTTCATTTAAATGCTTATATTTCCCTCTCGGGAATGGAGACCTGGGCCAATTACTACGCTCTAAAATGCTAGAAGAATTAAACTCCTCAATTAAATATCACAGGCCCAACATGTCTCGATAGGGTGTGTGTGATGGTGGTATTGGGATAGAATTATTCATAGATAAGCAATTTAAAATACCATCATCATACAATAACATTGGTACTGCCTGTCATTTATAGAACGATGATGCCCCAGGTATGTCTTACCTGGATATTATCTCCTGATCATGACACACATTCAAGTCAGTTATTTTCTCTTGAAAAACTGAGGACTCAGATAAAGGAAGGAAACCTCTTCTAAAAATGTTAGTTACAAATGGCATTTCTTTTATTATATTATTATTTTTTTTTTTTATCCTCACCCGAGGCCATTTTTCCATTTTTTGTTCAGATAGAGTGGGAGGGAGAGAGAGAGAGAGAAACATCGACTGGTTCCCTCCCGCATGACCCAGACCAGGGCCGGGGACAAACCGCAACCAAAGTACGTGCCCTTGACCGGAATCGAACCCACAGGCTGACGCTCTAACCTCTGAGCAAACCAGCCAGGGCAAAAAAATGGCATTTCTTATCTAAAGAGTGGTGCCGGTCCTGGCCGTTCGCTTTCTTGTTTCATTACATCCTTTCTGCAGATGTACTTGTGGAAGGTCAGAACGTGTTCCCGTCGCTCAGATGTACCAGTGTTTTAAACAGAAATAAAACCCTTTATTTTACTGACGTTTTCTGTTCATTTGATGTCAAGACTAAAGTTAGTATTTGATTCGGAAAACGCTTGTGGTGCGATTTGAAATGACCGGAGCGAGCTGCCTTGAAGCATTTTAAGAACTTTTGAAGTTTGCTGTAGGTAAATAGTAAATGTGCTAACTACAGACTTGTTCAGTAGAATAAGATCTGAACAGTGTTTTGTCTTGTTCTTTTTTCTTTATTGATTTTAGAGGGGGGGGGAGAGAGAGAGAGGAAGGGAGAGGGAGAGAGAGAAACATCGATGAGAGAGAACACCGACTGGCCGCCTCCTGCACGTCCCCCACTGGGGATCAGCCCACAACCTGGGCATGTGCCCTGACCGGAATCGAACCAGTGACCTCTTAGTGCAGGGTCGACGATCAGCCAGTGAGCCACACTGGCCGGGCTGCACAGTATTTTGAGTGAGCTGCATTAGTGTCTTTGAGTGGACTTTTCTGGATTTCAAGCCACTCGTAGAGAAAAAGAAAGAAATCTGATTGTTCAAAATGGCACAGTCTCCGGCAGCTTCTATAAAACAAGGATCCGTGGGGCACGTCTGACGTGAATGCACGGGACTCGGTCTCAGCTGTTCCAGAGCGAGCTGAGCGCAGCGGAGTGAATGGAACGTGGTGTGTGACTGACCGCCCGGGAGGATGGAGAGAGAAAGTCGTAAGAAAGAAAACCCACAGTCTCCTGTGTTCAGAGGAATATCTTCCTTTTTTTAATCCTTGAGGAAATGTTGTTTGATTTTAGAGAGAGAGAGGAACATCGGTCCGTTGCTCCTGAACTCACAACCTAGGCGAGTGTCCCGACCAGGAACAGAACCCACCTCCGCTCTGTGTACTGGATGATGTTTCCACCAACTGAGCCACCCGGCCAGGGCAGCCGCACGTCTTTCTTTGACGCGGATATCCAGAAAGGCTTTATGAAGTCATGAGAATTCAAAAATAAAACAAAATCTTCCGCCGTGAAGATTGCACTAGCAACAGCAGCTCCGCTGTTCTTGTTTTTAAGGATGGAGAGTCCAGGTGCTTTCCAGGGGACGGGGCAGGGGCCTAAAAGGTCATTTTGTGTTTGAGATGTAAAGGCAAAGGTCGTGATCTTGAATGATCACCTGATTAATTCCTTTGCTCCTAATCCTCCGCTTCAGGGGGTTTTATCGGCTCCGAGCAAATGCAGGTATTTTTTAAAGGTTCGAGAATCTGTGCACTTAACCTGGGCGTTTTCATGTTCCGTTTTCTAATGTTCACACTGGTTTTTTCCTGCAGACGCCTGAAAGCAGCCCCGGCCGGCCACCTTCTACCCAGCAAGCCGTAGAGGTGGCAGCTCCTCGGGTAGGGAGACTTGTGACTGAGTCCAAGCAGGGGGGTTATGATGACGAGGTACCTTTGCACTGTTCCTCCTTGTGTTTTGCTGTTTGCTACAAGACCCTGGCATGTCTGCAGCCTCACACTGACCTCTTGCCGCATAACCTACCGCTTCGCCACCCCCGGTGTGAAATGATCTAACAGGACTTGGAATGTCCAATGCAACTTCCAGCAGAGAGCGTACAGAACTTTTTAGAGTTAATACCTCACATGTCTCGTGTTCCTTGTTTCGTGCCGTCATGAGATCCGTTGACTCTCAGGTCGATCGATTCCCGTAGGTGTGTCTGATGAAACAGCAAAAGGTTGGAGCCTTTAAAATGAATCTTTCTTCCTCTTTTCTGTTTTGCTTGAATTATTTATTATAATACGTTGCCCACGTCTCCTGGCAAAAGGATATGCATCCTGATTGCAAAGAGATAACTGATATTTTTGCTTCCACAACCTTCATGGGACTATGAGCTGAAAGCCCACCAGTGTTTTATACACAGTGGGCCCTCCAGCCTCTCTCTCCTTCCCGCTCATGTTCATTCTCATCCAGTTAGTTTTCTCATAGAGACAAATCTTGCTTCTCGTGACACGGTTTTGGGGGATCCAGATGAGAATGCGCTGTTATCCTGGTCCCATCGGAAGATCCCCCCCCCTACATTTCTCCTAAGACTCTTACATTTTGGTATTTTCCATTTCTTCAGGAGTGCACAAAGAAGACCTCGGATGCTATCATTTGTTAGATTTTAGTGATATAGATGAGAAATAAGTATATACTAAATAGCTTTCTCCAAGTAACTGTTTTCTGGATTCGTTCCAAGGTTATTATTAAACTGTTACATAAGAATTACAGTGTCTTTATGACACTAAAATCAGAGGTGTCAGAAAGACATCGATGTTACTGTATCAGTGTACGAAATCATGGCCATCACGAGAGTAAGAAGTAGGTTGGCGAGATGGGAACTGGTCAGAAGGATTTTCTCAAGGTTAGTGTTAGAGCGGCTGTCAGTATGTAATCCGAAGCACAGAGACATAGTTTCAGTGAGTGGAGGTGATGGGTGTAGTCTCCTGACTTTTGCAGATACTTTAAAATGTAAACAGCTGAGAAGAATCAGCTATAATGAAAATGAAGAATACACTTCAGTCTGAAGTACTTATTAGCAATATTTTACTCTCGTTAACTATTTTAATACCTTATTGCTACTTGAGAATTACGGAAACGGTTACGTTTTTAATGGAAATGGGAACCTGTTGATGAAGCCCACCAGAGGGCTAGTTGTAGGGTGAGCCTACTGGCGTCAAACAAACAAACACAGAGTTGAGATTAATCATGGAACACGATCGTTTGTGCAAATGCTGATGCTCCCGGCAGTTTTGTTTTGTGTTTTAATCCACTGGAGTGGCGGTTTTCACAGTGCATGTGGCTTGGCACAGGCTGTGGGCACAGGGCAGCTGCTGAGGGCTGCCCGGGGCCTGTGGCTGGTGGGGGCTGCCTAGCCCGTGGGCGCAGGTACCAGCCTTGAACTTAGCCCTGGCTGCCCGAGCGGCCCCCGCCTTCACAACGAGGCACCTTTATCCTTTTTTTTTTTATCCTCACCCGAGGACATTTTTCCATTTTTTGTACAGATAGAGTGGGAGGGAGAGAGAGGGAGAGAGAGAGAGAGAGAAACATCAATGTGAAAGGGACACATCGAGTGGCTGCCACCCGCACGACCAACCAGGGCCGGGGACAAACTGCAACCGAGGTACAAGCCCTTAGCAGGAACCGAACCCGGGTCTCTCCGGACCGCAGGCCGACGCTTTAACCGCTGAGCCAAACCGGCCAGGGCACGAGGCACCTTTAAATGAAAAGATGGTGTCGGTTGCTAAACGGTTCTCTCTAGCGTGTCAGCAAGGGGGTGTCTTGTCTGACTTCTTTGGTTCAGAGAGGGTGCCTGTTTTGCTTTTTGCACAAATGCACCGTGTGAACGAGCCGTGGCCTGTGGATGACTTTGAAGTGTACTTACATGCACAGTGCGTCATGTTTGCTGTTTAAAAAATGCAACCTTTGATCGATACGTGGCGAAAAGCAAAGGACTTCTAACTTGCATGGAAAGAGATGATTCTGGCCTGTTACGTTTCTTCTGTGACTCATTCGAAAACTTTTACTTTAAACCCCTTGCGGCAGATCATGATGACCCCGAGCATGCAAGGTATCATCATGGCCATAGGTAAATCCAGGAGTGTGTACGACAAGTGTGGCCCTGAAGCAGGGTTCTTTAAGGTACAAGTCCCATTTCCTTTTCTTCTCCTATTTGTTGAATGAGATTTCTTAACATATTTTCTTTCCTTAATTAAGTTTGTTTTCCTGTTTAATTTCTCTTCTCCTATTGTAGCCACGGTCACCCAATGTTCTAGGGGTTTCTTTTCTGCATGAATCGAAGACTGGTTATTTGTTTCTTTAGTCCAGATAATTCAACAAAAACGAGACTGTTTTACCTGAGTTACCCTAATAGTGCACCTCTGTTTTGTTAGCAGACATTTGAATTCTGTTCTTATGTGAAAGGAATAAAGGGAATTGATAAGCAAAACCTAGGCACTGAGTCACTTTCTGATAATAATTTATTTTTTTCCTCATTGGAAATACGATTAGTCGTTCCCGTAATATTGTCCTTTAACTTTGCTTTCTGTGTTGGGTTGTTTGTAAAATCATTCATGCGTTATCTTTTTATGTTTCTATTCACTTATGTTTTCCCCTGGGTTAATTCCTGAGTTCTGGTCATTTCAAGACACGTGAGACCGTGTAGCTGACGCATTATTCTGCGGCTCAATCTTTTTCTCCTCTAATTCCAGGTCTTTACAATGTTTTGATTACAGTATTTGCTTTTAAAAATGAAAACACTGTAGCTCTGACCGGTTTGGCTCGGCAGTTAGAGCGTCAGCCTGCGGTCCGGAGAGACCCGGGTTCGGTTCCCGCTAAGGGCATGTACCTCGGTTGCAGTTTGTCCCCGGCCCTGGTTGATCGTGCGGGTGGCAGCCACTCGATGTGTCCCTTTCACATCGATGTTTCTCTCTCTCTCTCTCTCCCTCTCCCTCCCACTCTGAACAAAAAATGGAAAAATACCCTCGGGTGAGGATAAAAAAAAAAACTGTATATTTTGTCATTTTATTTAGATTAACCGAAAATCTACCAGGGTCTTTTCACTCCTAGCCCCTCATTAGTGTTTGTTTCTTTCTATTAAAAGAAATTTAGGGGGATGGGCATTGAGGTGTAGCTCACTACCTTAAATGCATGCTCCTTTACTTGACATTAAAAATCTAAATTTTTCTCGTGAATTTTTTCTGCTCTCCCATCCTCAAACCCGGTCCTTCACACACTGCTTATTTCCAGCAGTTCTTTCAAAGACAGACGCAGAGTCCTCGTGCAGTGCCGCCTGTGTCGGTCAACAAGTGGGAACCTGTTTGCATGGGTGCGGCCCGCCGTCCGGTGGGCCCGGCTGTGGGCTCCGGGAGAGGACTCTGCCTGCGGACCTGTAGCAGCTCCGGCGAAGCGGCCAGGGAGACATCGTCACCCTGATGAGGACCCTTGAGAAAGGCTGAACAGCTGCTCGTAAAAAAATACCGCAAAAAACAAACTTTCATGTTTTCTTTGTGTTTGTTTTTTTTTATCACCCAAGGACATTTTTTAAATTTTTTTGTTCAGATAGAGTGGGAGGGAGAGAGAGGAAGAGAGAGAGAGAAACATTAACGTGAAAGGGACACATCGAGTGGCTGCCACCCACATGACCCCAACCAGGGCCGGGGACAAACTGCAACCGAGGTTCGTGCCCCCGGTGGGAACCGAACCCGGGTCTCTCTGGACCGCAGGCCGACGCTCTAACCGCTGCGCCAAACCGGCCAGGGCTGTTCTCTGTGAGTTTTACGTCCTCAGGGGACCTGCTCTGTAGCAGCTTTGGTCTTCCTGGCCTTCTGTTCCCCGGGGTCTCCATTCCCTGCGACCTTGGGGTGCTCCTTGCATCTCGTCCCGTGAGTGTTTTCTGTAGCTCATATATTTTTCTTTTTTGGTTTACCCTCCAATTTTCCTGTAGCAGCATATTTCTGAAATTTATGTTTCTACCCATCTGTCACTGAAGACTATCTATGGGTGTAATCTTATGGAAACATTATTTGTTCATAATTCGTGTCTGTATTATAAATGATGTGTAGGTATATGACTAACATGTGGAGACTTCTAGCTGATAATAGATAATTTTAGGACATCTGTCAAGTGAATAACAAAAGTACTATCTACAAAGCGCAGTCACTTGGTAATAGAGAGGTGTCCAGAGGACGTGTGTGGCACAGTGTCTCGTATGTGCTGGCTGCTTCTGCTTGCCTGTTTTCTTAACATAGACTAGTGTATTTAGATGTTCATAATGCTTAGTTTCTCTTACATTGAAGGAGAATTTTTTTTTTTTTTTTTTTTTTTGTTATCCTCACCCGAGGATATTTTTCCACCTTTTGTACAGATAGAGTGGGAGGGAGAGAGAGGAAGGGAGAGAGAGAAACATCGACGTGAAGGGACACATCGAGTGGCTGCCACCCACACGACCAACCAGGGCCGGGGACAAACTGCAACCAAAGTACGTGCCCTTAGCGGGAACCGAACCCGGGTCTCTCCAGACCGCAGGCCGACGCTCTAACCGCTGAGCCAAACTGGCCAGGGCGAGAATTTTTTTTTTTTTAATGTCCCTTTTATATTTGGTCACAGCGCCAAAGAAAGATGTGTGTCGGGTTTATTTGATGTGGGCAGTGCAGGGAGGAGGAGGAGGAAGCTGTCGACACGGCGCCTGGGTATTGGTTTCCTCCTGGTTATGACCAGGCCAGTGCCTATGTCGTACAGGTTTGCAGGGCAGAACCACATGGTGAAAATGTTACTTTGTTACTGACAAACACGTAAGTTGCACAGTGAAAGGCATCAGGCTGAGAAGTGGATGAGATACGTTGTAACCTCTGAATCAGGACCTTACCAGTGGTTGGCATGTCCCCGCCCACACGGGGCCTCGCGCCTGGGAGTCTGCCCCTGTGAACACGCACGAGCGCCTTGACGGGCAGGCAGGTCTGGACAAGTGCGTGAGGAGGGACGTGTGCCTGGTCCTTCCCCCGGCTGCCTGCTTGTTCGGGTTTCGTTTTCGTTGTTAACAGGAAACTGCCCCCAAAATAGTGGCTTGAAGACAGAAGTTTTTGTCCAGAGAAAGGCAGTGCAGGGTTACTATGATGGGCAAGAATAAAAGCCAGAAGGAAACAAATAATGATATTCTGTAAGGGACCCATCGCTTGCGCATCCGGGAGAGGGAGCTGCGGGGTCATGTGATCATTACGATCGTGAGAGCAGTTTCACTTGTTTCATCTACTTCGAAAGACATTACAGTGTCTTTTTTTATGTACATTTTTTCTTTACCTAGTTAAGTACCCTCAGAATTTTAATGAGTAGCACTTTTATATTATGAGACTTTTTTTTTTTTTTACCATTTAGTTCATTGCTTCATAACAGTTGTTTCCTTTTGACATAATTGTATTGCTCTTTTTAAATTATGAAATGCCTATAATTATTATTACTCTTTTGTTTATTTAATAGATATAAAATATATCAGTAGAATGGAGAGACCCAAACAGACCTATTTATAAATGGTACTTATTAATATGTGAGAAAGATGATATTTCAAGTCAGTGTATAAAAGACACATTAGTCAAAATTGTATATTTGGACTGTGTGACTCTTTCTCTATTTGGAGAAAACAAAATCCCATATTTAAGAATCTAAACAAAAAATAAAATCCTGAAAATTCTAGAATTAAAGAGGTGGTAGTTTTGGAAGTGTTCATAGAGGCCCAAATCCATAAAGAAAATACTGCTATATTTTATGAGTTTTAAAAGTGTACACAGTAAGACACTAAAAACAAATTTAAAGATAAATGACAAACAAAATACAATTTGCAACTTACAGATGAATCAAATGTCTTAACAGAGCAAATGCTCATTTAATTTAAACAACAACATAAAAACCTTAGGGGTTCTTTATTTTAATAAGACTGTCTCTAGTGTTTTATTAAGTAGGTTGTTCATTTAATCGAGTCCTCTTCTAAATATAAAAACACTCAAATTTAAATTCATAGTTAAGAGTCTTCTTTGACATTGATGCTGGAACTTGGGACTTTTTTAATGCATTTGAGATACTGAGCAGGTTTCTCTTTCATTTTTAGTCTTGGAAATGTAAAGATCTTAATTAACCTTGACTTAAAAAAATCATTGTAAACATCATCTATTCCTATATATTCTTTTTGTACACAATGTAGCTTATCAGTGAATTTGGATGTGGAGAATCTGTGTTCACAGATAAATTGATACATAGTTTCTTTTTTATGTCCGTCAACTTTTGATATCCGGATTCAAGTAGCCTAATATGATCGTTAAGGAGCCTCTTCCCTTTTTTTTAGGTGTTGGAGCGGTTTAGATGTGATAGGAATCATCTTGTCTGTGAAGATGTGCCCAGCAGCTTGGCTCTAACCCAGTGTGGGCCCCAATCCTGTCTGAGTGCAGCGTTTAACTGTTTCTGTGGTTTTGCGGGGTCTCCTCAGTCTTTCTGCCTCTCAAAGCAATCCTGGTCCCTCGCGTGTTCCTAGACGATCCTCTGTTTAATCAAGATGTTACCGTTTATTGGCACAACGTCATATGTATTATTCTGTCATAACTTTTAAAATGTTTACCTGTGTTCTGGTGTTGAGTTTTCTTCCATTTTTTGGTTTCCCATTTAGCTTTTTGGAGAAGAAACACCATCGACGATATCTAATGGCCACATTATTTTATTTCTTCTCGTTTATTTTGGTTCATTTTCTTTCTTTCCCCAGCTTCTGGAGATACGTTTTATTCTGTTTTGCTTACGTTGGAAAGTTCCTTTGACTACCAGTCTGGCTGTGTCCTATCGGTTTTGATATCCCATATTCTCAGTGGCAATATAATTTTGGTTCTCTGGGCCTAAGAATTATTTAAAACAGTATTTGTAACTTCCTACGTGTTTAGTGTGGGAGCTGCCTTCAGTTTCAATTCTGTTTGTACTGCACTGTGGTCAGAGATCGTGCCGACGTGTTGTTGGTCCTCTGGGATGGGGGGGGGTTCTTCATTCCTGCGCCATGGTCAGTTTTTAAAACACAGTCCACATCTTAATACAGACATTTATTCACACATAGACATGCACTTGGTATTCACCTAACATTATTTTAGAGACGAGGGCACTCGGATTACGATGTGACCAGCTCTGTGCCACAGTGCGTGAGTTGACTGAGTCAGAAGAGGAAATCCTTAGCACTGAAAATTTCAAGAGAGACGTCAGCTCGTCGTACCGATGAGTCGTAGGTGGGGGTGAACACGACGTCACACGCTCGGAGGACGCGCTAGCAAAGGCTGGGGTGCCCCTGGGGGACGGGCCCGGCCCAGGGGGACGGAGGAGGTCCTGGTGGGAGAGTAGCAGGAAGAGCCCTCACAGGTGACGTGGGCCGTGGTGAGTGGGCCCAGTCGGGGGAGTGGGGAAAACCAGGCAGAAAGGAAGCCAGAGGCTCTGTCAGCTGACGGCCAGGGCCCCTGTTCTCTGTCAGCGTGGGGGTGTCATCGCGGCGTCTGTGGTCATCACCTGAACTCAGGCGTGGACGGGACAAGCGTCGTTCCCAGTGGAGAGGGTGCTGAGGAGCTCGTGCGGGGCCGATGGGCAGCTCAGCGTGTTCTCGGTGTTGGTGACGGACAGTGTCCAGCTTTGCTGAGGGCGGTTGACAGTCTGAAGGAATAGATATGATTGCCGAGCATTTTAAAGGTTAGAAAACGGATTTTTGAAAATGAGGGATATATGCTGGTCAAAGGTGATCTGGTGTATGTGTGTGTTTGAAAGTTACTCCCAGAAATTAAAAAATACCTGTACTGGTTTAAACACCTACAGGTTGTGAATTTGTTATTTACTTGTGAAAATTAGGAGACTCTAAAATAGAGCAAAATCAAGTAATAAACATAAGCTTAGAGTAAAAGAAGGTACATATATTCAGCTCTCTAGTAGAAATCTATTTACTATTTATAAATACTCACAGGTTCTACTTTGAAAATAGGAAAATGGATAACTCTTTAGTGTTATCATTTCTGTCTCTGAACCATAATATTATTTTAACAAACTCAGTACAAATCTATTTTATTTTGGCCATACTAAAGCACAGTATTGGCCCAAAGCATAATATCTAACATACTGGAATATTCAGAAAAAACCTGTAATATAACCTATAATAGTCATTGTCTAAGGTCCATAATAATAAGAATGAACAGTTATTGTTTTTGTCTGACATTTTTTCTCAAATTCAGTATAATTTGGTTATTAAGTGAAGCTGAGCCTTTTTTCAAATTGGGAAAATAGGGAGATTTTAAAGAGTTCAGCCAAGCTCACGTGCGGTTACTAGGTCTGCCAAGAAGTGAACCGTGATCATCTTACATGTCAGCGAGAATGAACGTTCTTGGCTATTTTAACCACAGCTCTAAGACTGTAGAATGACATGTATATCCTAAATAAAAAATAAATAAAATAGAAGATGCTATTTTAGCTGGAAGGTCATTCTTATTCCATTTGCAATGCTAAGCTCTGCAGAAAGGACTCCGCCTCCCGCTTGATAAACTGTAACAATATGTAACTAGAACATTTCATTTAATGTTAGTTATATTTTCTGCCTTCTATAAAATACAGTTGTATCAGTGGTGATATCTGTGTGCCCAAGAATTGCCTACGAAAGGCATACATTTAACAAGAAAACCGTTCTACAGGGTGGGTACTTTGAAACATGCAGTCAAACCTGAACGGAACAGACTAATTCAGGCGAAGGGGTGTCCCTTAAAGCCAAAGTCCGTTATCTGATAAAGTAGGTTTTCCAAATGTGTGTTAAAAATTGGACAACTTAGATAGTTTCCCTCTTTCTACTTATGTAGACACATCTGTGTAATTAAAATTATGGATGGAAAGCTTAATTTCACAGAAAAATTTTATATGTGTATTACAGTCATTTTAAATTCAGTCTCAGTGGTTCGCCTGTCGGCCTGTGTATCAGAGGGTTCGAGTCCCACTCAAGGGCCTGTACCTGGGTTGCAGGTGCGTCCGCGGCACCCGCTGGGACCAGCGCAGGAGGCCACCCATGCGTGTGTCCCCCTTACACTGGTGCTTCTCTCTCCTCTCCCCTCCCTCCCGCCTTCCACTGGCTCTCGTAACCAGTGAGAAAAACTATCCTCAGGTGAGGATTAACAACAGCCACCAAAAGCTGCTGCAGGAGGTCACACCAGGCGACCACAGAACCAGTCCCCACCTCCGCCCCGTGCGGTGTCATCACCGCTAATCATTCCCTGAAGTGTTCGCGAGTGTGACTCTGGATTTCAAGTTGTAGACTAGGGTTGTAGATACGTAGTATTTATTCTGTTGGCAATGTTACTGCAGTATTTCTTCCAACATATGGCCTGTTCACTGAAATGTGTTAAAAATAACAGGAAGTAATAACACAAATAATTAATTGTAAGCAAATCTTGGTTAAAAGCATTTTAAAATCAACAGAGTGTTAATTTTCACATATGACGTGCAAACTGGACATTTTGTCCATTATATCCGAAGTTCATTAAATCGAGGTCCACAGACTTGAGGGTTTATTGTATTTTGCATGTAGCCCCAAAATATTTTATGGTTAATAGAGCTAGAATTTAGATAGAAGTCTAATATAAATTTATATTTTAAAAACTGTTTTTTAAATCATAGTTTCTTGTATACAGCTGTATTGGATGTATAACTCGACATAGATTTCTATATGAGCAAATGCTTTTCCAATCATTTGCCATGTACAGTAACCTATTAATATTTATTTTCCATCATCATTAGTTATCAATTATGAGGTGTTCCTACCTATGAAGAGAAAGTAAGCTTTAGCGTCAAAGAGGTAGTAGTAATAATATTCACTATTAAGTACTTATACTAATGAAATGCAGAAATTTTTGAAGCAACAAGAAATTCGTTCTGTGATAAGTACGGTCTCTGGCCTCCGTCATCCCTTATTTGCGGCCTGTTCCGTGGAAAGTTCACTGTAGTGATATTCTAGGCTCTCGGGAGCCAGCCAGTGTGTCTCACATCCGGGCATTCTGCAGCAGTTTGGGTGCGAGAGGCCACCTCAGGCTGGTACTAGAAAGCAGAGCAGAGGAGCTGCTTGGTGTACCAGTCTCAGGCGACCTCTGAGCGGACTTGGACCAGGCTTTGATGAGCTTGACAAAATTCCTCACCCAGTAAGCTCAGAGGTGTTGTTCATGGGCCACGTCTCGGGGTGGAAACGGAAAGAACATTTCTGGAAGGAAGGGCTTATGTGGTCAGTTTGTAGAAAGTTCTTTGGAGCTATGGAACGCGGAGCAGTATTCTTAGCTACACTGCCCTGTTGGTGATACTTTCAAAGGAAAAAGGCAGGTGAGACTCAAGAATGATTACAGTTACCAAATGGAAGGATTTAATTGGGACGACTAACCCACAGTGACATTTTGTTGCATTTCCCAGGCGATTAAGTTGGAGTACTCCAGGCTGGTTAAGTTGGCCCAAGAAGACACCCCACCGGAAACCGACTACCGTTTACATCATGCAGTGGTTTACTTTATCCAGAATCAGGCGCCGAAGAAAATCATTGAGAAGACATTGCTGGAGCAGTTTGGAGATAGAAATTTAAGTTTTGATGAAAGGTAATGTAGACATACGAAATATCTGATTCGATTTTTGAACGTTTATTTTATGCATACACAAAAACATTTCCAATAAGTACAGCACAAAATCGGACTTGACTTCATTTGAGTAGTGGCTTTGTAATTTATCTACAGGTTATAATCAAGACCTTTATGCCCTGGCCGGTTTGGCTCAGCAGTTGGAGCATCAGCCTGCGGACCAGAGAGTCCCGGGTTTGGTTCCCGCTAGGAGCACGTAGCCTTTAAAGGCTTGAAATGAAAATTATTCAGGTCATTTTAGTACATTTTAATTGTGAGCCAAAGTACTGAGCTAAGCAATGTAATGATAACACAGAAGAGTACACTCTAACCACTGCCTGTGGGACTCAATATTTTAGAGGCAAAAAAATGTTCAGCCTTTATACTGTGAATATTTTGAGTCAGATAATTGGTTCAATTAATTTTGCTTTTCCAAAAAAAAAAAAAAAAATGTTTTTTCTGTGGAGCTCCTATAAAACTATTTACTAATGTTAAAATTGTAAACGTAATTGAGTTAGAATGAATACTGTTGAAAAAATGTCTCCGTTGAAGATCAAAATACTGGAAGTGATTATACGATGGGAAACATTTATGTTGCCTTGGAGTTCATTATAATCACATTCTAATTAAGAAATCAGTGATTGTCCTTTTTATGACAATTTCAAAAATACTGAATGGAAAACATGTTTCACAGAGGAGATGAGGAGGAGAAATTGAACATCTAGTGTTCATTCCTGCCTCACCATGCGGAATTTAAGGTTAAGTGAAATAGTACAAGTAAATGGTTTCTAATAATATCTGGTAGTGGCTGAGCCTCAGCAGGTGTTGGCTGTTACATTGTTAATAGTACTAGTGTGGGCATCATTCATTTTGTTACATGTGACTACAAAGAGCTCCCTAGTACGACTGGTTATGATCCCTATTATATCTCTGTTAAAGCACTATAAACACGTGCTAATGAATTTGGGGAAGAGATTCCTGGAATAATCACATTTTCATTCTTTTTTTTTTTTTTTTTTTTTTTTTAATCCTCACCCGAGGACATTTTTCCATTTTTTGTTCAGATAGAGCAGGAGGGAGAGAGAGGAAGAGAGAGAGAGAGAAACATCGATGTGAAGGGACACATCGAGTGGCTGCCACCCGCACGACCAACCAGGGCCGGGGACAAACTGCAACCGAGGTACGCGCCCTTAGCGGGAACCGAACCCGGGTCTCTCTGTACCGCAGGCCGATGCTCTAACCGCTGAGCCAAACCGGCCAGGGCACATTTTCATTCTTTTGCAACTATTTGTCCTGGCCACTGCAGAGAGTCGATTCGTTCTGATAACCTAATTTGATCAGTATATTTCGTGGGGATTTCTTTATCTGTGATTCTGATCAGAGATTGACTGGAATGTTTCCCTTCTGACCTGCAGTGAGGGGAACATTTGGGGTCCTTTTTACCATTTGCAAATGATGCCATTTGGGGGGAAATAAAATGTAATGTCTTGAGCATGCTAAATAAATATAAATTATTTTTTAAAACACAGTTTCTACTATGCAGTCGTTATTAGCAGACTGTGATTTTAAAACCCTGTGTAGCTGTGACCTGGTACATTGGACTCAGAATCAGTGACACTGTCTTTTTTATGCACTTTGTCACTATGCAGCACTGGTCCCCAGAGCACGTTTTCCTTACGGTTGTTTGGGACCTGTTTCCTCAGGGACTGGTCTCATTTCCAGGTGTGTTGGGTGGCTCAGGTTTGCACAGCACACATTGTCCAGGTGCATGGGTCTCGCTTTAGATTGAGGAACCCCCTTCTTTCCTCTCAAGGTGTCACAACATCATGAAAGTGGCCCGAGCCAAACTGGAGATGATCAAGCCCGAGGAAGTGAACCTGGAGGAATATGAGGTAACATGCTTTCTGAGCTGTCCAGCTGTGGACGGAGGGCGCCTGCGGGTCACTGGTCTCCCTGTCGTCGTGGCTCAGCTGAGCCCGAGGAGATGAGGCCCATGGGGTGACCACCCACCAGAGCCCGCAGGGACCGCCGGCTGACGGGACCTGCCTTCTTTTTTTTTCTTTTAATTTATTTTCTTTATTGATTTTAAGGAGAGAGGAAGGGAGAGGGAGGGAGAGAGAGAGAGAGAAACATGGATGAGAGAGAACATCGACTGGCCACCTCCTGCGTGCCCCCCACTGGGGATCGGGCCCACAACCTGGGCATGTGCCCTGACCGGGAATCGAACCCCGGACCTCTTGGTGCAGGGTCGACGCTCAACCACTGAGCCACACGGCCGGGTGGAACCTGCCTCTAAACGCCGAATACTCTCTGGGCTTCATCACGTATTTTGATGTTAGAATTTATTTTAATCACTGAACCCCCTGTATGTTTTTCATCACTGGACCTGGGGTCCCTGTGAGCACATGTACTGACATTGTGTTTACAGTCATTTTTGTGCACAGAACTCTCTTTGACTTAACTTTTGGTTTTAAGACTAATACCTATTTTAAAAAATTTACCAGTTCAAATACCTAGCATTTATTTTAACTTTAAATTTATACTATATATACTATATATTTCATATCATTAAAAGTGATATGTATAGTACCTTATTCATACAGGTATTTAACTATATAGTGTCTTTTTAAGTTATAAATCCAGGTAATTTTTAGTTGCTTTCATGAGTGCCTTGGATGAATGTTTGGTCCCATTTACAGACCTAATTATTTGACATCCCCTTACACAGTTACCGTAATTCCCATAGTATAACAGATCAAAGGAAATACACAGCAGTCATTTTGGATGAAAACCCTTAGCTAACCTGGAGTACAGGGTAACTACTTTAAAGGACTAAAGAGTGCTTTGAAACACAAAAACACGATTACAAGAAATACGGAGAATTGCGGGCGTGACCGCTGTCCGTCTGAGCAGGGCATGGGCAGTGAGTGATCATTGCTCCTGCTCAGCCCGGCACTAACAGGCAGGAGGCCACAGAAATCAGCACCAAGTGAAAGATTATGAAAGAAGAAACGAAGTTCTTACTTTCAATTGTCTACCGAGAAAATACCCACACAATCTACAGATGGACTTATTTGAACTAATAAGAGCTTTGTAATGTGCACACCTATGTCCAATACCAATTTTATTCCTTTATACTGATAACAAATAATCAGAAAAAATACATTTTTAAAAAATGACACCACTTACAGTATCATCCAAAACAGTGGAATACCTAGAAATAAATTTGACAAAAGATGTACGTGACTTTAGGAGACATCAAAGAAGACCTCAGTGAATGAATAATCTGTCATGTTTGGAACTTGGTATTGAAAGATGACAGTATCCCCTTAAGTGATTTACTGAGTCACCACAGTTTCTACCAAACTTTTAGCAAGTTATTTTAGGGAGCTTGATAGACTGATTCAGATATTTTATGGAAATGCAAAGATCTTCGTCTAGTCCTGACATTCTTGAAGAACAAAGTAAGAAGGCTTGTTCTATTAGAAATCAAGACATACTGTCTTAACTATTACGTTTATAATAATATGAGCATAAGAATCGGTAAATTGGAACAATGGGGCACAATAGAAGTCTGGGGGCCCATCCACAAATCAGCAGACACAAGATGTGTGCCAGAGATGGCAGGGACAGGGGTTGCTAACTCTGCCTCTGTCCCCCAAATTCAGGTTACACGGGACCTCATTTTCAATAGTGATTTCATTCTGCAGTTGCTCCCCAAGGTAGCTTCATCGGATTGGATTCAGCACATTCTGAAAACGTCTTATGTTCTTTCTAACGGCAGTCATAGAATCTTGCAGATCGTCACATAACATTTCTTCTATTTCGCTTATCTTTGTCTTGCTCCAAGTCAGGGCTCAGCAAACCCTGGCCGGCAAACCCAACCCAGCACGCCACCTGCTTTGGTCAATAAAGTTGCACTGGAATACAGCCATTGGCCTCCGCGCGTCTCCGCGCTACCGTCACGAGGTGGCTGCAACCCTGAAATGTTTGTCTGGCTCCTCACGGAGAGTGTGCCCATCACAACTTCTCGGGCAGTCTGGCAATGGGGTGGCCATTGAGTACTTCCCCCCGACAGCGACCTTTATACCTGCAAAACAACACCGCCTTTATTTTTTATTAGGGTCTACTAATAGTACGAAAATTATGCCTCAAAAATTTAAAATGGTCTTTATTCAGGGAGCATACAGCCGGCCAATCACTGGTCTAGATGCTTCTTTGATTTTCTTATAATAATGTGTGTATAAGAGCTTGATCACACAGCTTTCTTATCAGTATCTCTTTTAGGTGAGTCCAGTGTTGTAATTTTGTTGTATTTTAGTTATGGTTTCCCTTGAATCAATTTCCTTAAGTAAGAAAAAAGTCAGCGTTTGTTTTGTTTTCTAGAGGATATCAGTTCTGAATTGTTTAGTCCTATTACTTGCGCGACAGTTGGGTTTTTGGAGGGTAAGGCAGTGAAATGGGAAATGTTTTTATCCTTTTGCCTGACTCTCAAACAAATAGACTGTTCACCTGCCACACTTCAAATGACATTCAGCACAAATTTGGCGAAATTAACAGGTGAAATAAATGTATTATGCGAAAACATTTTTTTTTTTCTTTTAGTTTCTTTAAATGCTGCATCAAATAATAGGCTTCAAGCTTTGATTTACATTAGAGTCGTAACCACAGTTACCTCGTACATCCCCTGTGAGGTAGATGAGGCAACGGAAGGGTTACCAGTGTTGGGTGGGAAATCATACCGTAATTAATAAGTAATATAAAAGGGTAAACTTTTTTGCGTACTCACAACTGTAAACCTACTTTTGCCCCATCCTGAATTTTCATAGTGTGCTTTTGTACTGAGGAATTTTGGAGAGAGAGAGAGAGAGAGAGAGAGAGAGCCAGATTGATTATCCTGCCTCGTATTTCTGTTGTCTTCTAATGAGATCTTGTGGTTTAATTTTTCATCAATGTCTAATAATTTTTGTTTATTATTTACTAATAAATAGTCTTGGCAGAACTTAAGGTCTTTTTTGGCAGACTGTTTTTATTTTATTTTTTAATTTGCTTTTATTGCTGAAAGTATTACAGATGTACCCATTTTCCCGTACTGACCCCTCTGTCCACCCCCCCACCCCCACACTTTCAACACTCTTCTGTCTGTCCGTGGGCTCCGCACATACACCAGCTTGCACCACACACAGGAATAAACTCAAAATGAATAAAAGACTTAAATGTAAGTCATGAGACCCTAAACATCCTAGAAGAAAATGTAGGCGAAAACAGTCAGACATCTCGCCGCAGAATTGTCACCGAGATCTCCACGGGCGAGAGACACCAATTCAGGTCTTCATCATCTGGATTATCTTCATTGTGACGTCTTTCCTGTGAATTCAGTTATCAGAACAGTGTGCTGCCGAGTGAAGAATCTCCCCGTGTTGGCACAAACATCTCCCTGTGGGTACAGCTAACATTTTCTTGTTCTTGTAGGAGTGGCATCAGGATTACAGGAAGTTCAGAGAAACAACCACATACCTCATCATTGGGCTGGAAAATTTCCAAAGAGAAAGGTAAGGAAACGTGGCGGCAGCTGGAACGAGGAGCTTAATTTGGGTACTTCGTCCTGTCAGATGGGACCTTCTATGTAGAAAAGATTTTAATCATGATATATATTGTGAATGCTTTATTTTAGAACAGTTTAGATTTCCAGAGAGCGGGCACAGTTAACCCAGAGAGTTGGACGCATCCCCCACACCATGGATTTTTTTTATTTTAAGTTAAATCTGGATGGTGGGGATTAGTGTCTTTGTTTTTATCAGCTCTGGAACATGACCCCTGAAGGTCAGGATGTGGGAGGATTGGAGAGAAGCTTAGAATTTGCTGGAGACCAGAGAAGCTGGTAACCCGACAGGTGTGATGGTTCATATTCCCTAACAGCTACCTGCAGGCCTCTGATTCTTTCTGAGTCTACTCCTGACCTCGACTCACGTCGTTTTCCCATCTGTCTACATGCCTGAACTTTAGGGACTAAAAATATAGCTGTAGAAAACCGCTCTCTGGTCTCCTAAGTATTGAGACTGCAAACACATCTTAGATTTTTTTCATTTACATTGCAAGTGGTTTTAAAAGGGGTTTCTACGTATTCAACTCTTGCATGGTTGGTTGTTTTTGTTTGAATTGTCACCAAGAAGGAAGGGCGGGTGTTGATGGACAGCGCTGTGGGCTACTCACCACTAGTGGGCGTTTACTTCCTTCTCCCCATGGTTCCTGATTCACACCCTTGAATAACGAGCTTGCTTGACTGGTGGTTTGTTTTTGAAAGTGCTGTAATTGAATGGTGCCATGCTGCAACCAAATGTATGAAGGTCTGTTGGAGTCCTTCCTTTGCTTCTCTTTCCTTCTCCTTCCTCCCTTCCCCTTCCCCGCACTGAGGGAATGAAACTATTTTATATATATATATATATAAATTATTTTTCTTTATTGATTTTAGAGAGAGAGGAAGGGAGAGGGAGAGAGAGAAACATCGATAAGAGAGAACATCGACTGGCCGCCTCCTGCACGCCCCCCACTGGGGATCGGGCCACAACCTGGGCATGTGCCCTGACCGGGAATCGAACTGGCGACCTCTTGATGCAGGGTCACCGCTCAACCACTGAGCACACCGGCCAGACACCACATTCTTATCTGAGATACAATAAGACTGTGGGGCCTGGTGGACTCTCTCTTGGTCTCAGAACTGACGGCCCATCGATACATTCCCGTCAGGTCCCGACTGTTAGGTTTGCATTAAAAACCACTCCGACAAAACCTCCGGGCAACATCTGACATCCGCTAGCTGTGGCAACTGTTGTGTTTAGTGATAACATTAACGTTTCTTTTCTCTTGTTCTGTCAACATTATTTGTCATCATTACTAACTTTCCAGTTGGTCCTTACAATTTATTTAGTAGATACGAGAATATTGACGTTGGAACAAACATATTTAAGATAAAGAAATTATGAAATTTCAACATATTACCAAGTTATATATTTTGTTTTGTGTTTAAATCCTCACCCGGTATTTTTCCATTTATCTGCAGAGTGGATGGGAGGGAGAGAAACTGATGTGGGAGAGACACATCGACTGGTTGCCTCTCCCATGACCCGACCAGGGCCGGGGACGAACCGCAACCGAGGTACGTGCCCTTGACCGGAATTGAACCTGCGACTCTCCGACACTAACCACTGAGCCAAACTGGCCAGGGCCCAAGTTATTATATCGTAAAGACCGTTAACAGATCTAGCTAAAATGAGTTAATATACATACTACGCAGAGAGCTAGAAAGTGATAGTTATACCTCTTTACATTCTGGATGAGATTATTGAATGCTACTTTTTGTGCTTATTGGACTTCCTTAAATTACACGAGAACACAGGGGTCTCTGTCTTCATTCTTCTCTCCCTACTTCGCTGTGTGACCTTGACCAAGTTTATGCCCCGGGGGGCTGCTTGATCCCCAAAATGCCATTTTGGTCTTAAACACTTTACCGAATTGTAACATCATATTACTCTTTCCTCGAATCAGTACAAATCTGAGAAACCCGAGTATAAATTTAAATATTTCTATAGAAGAAATAAAACCTTGACCACAAAGATGTATGAAATAGAGCTATAATCAACATAGTTTCCTATTTCAGTGACCAGTGTGAATTATCTTATAAGTTACACAATAATTAGGACTTAAATAATTTGCTTCCAGGTATTAATACTCCTGTTTTCTTTTGTGTGGTAGCTTCTATAGTTGTGGTAAGTGTAATAGTAACGGCACAGTGCCCGGCACAACTTTCTTCAGAGATGGGAGAGTTTTACATCCATACAGTGGTCACCACCTGCAGACACTGAACCTTGAAATGTGGCTAGTCTGACCGAGAAACAAAATTTTTCTTAAAAAATGTTTAATTAATTTTAATTGTCACACATGGTGGCCACCATGATGGAAATCATACCTCTAGAAGGTCAGGTCTCTGTTAGCATTTAAGAAAACATCGTGTCGCCCGGCCAGTGTGGCTCAGTGGTTCAGCGTCGACCCTGCACCAAGGGGTCGCTAGTTTGATTCCCGGTCAGGACACATGCCCAGGTTGTGGCTCGATCCCCAGTGTGGGGCATGCAGGAGGCGGCCAGTTGATGTTTTCTCTCATTGATGTTTCTCTCTCTCTCTCCCTCTCTCTCTAAAATCAATAAAGAAAAAAAACTGTTTTTTTAAAATAAGAACGTGGTAACTGGACTGCTGACTCTTATTCTGATTTATTTGAAAATATATTTATAAAACTTTATTTTTTTTTCTTTTTATTGAACTTATTGGGGTGACACTGGTTAACAAAATCCTACAAGTGTCAGGTGCACAGTTCCCTACAACACATTGTCTGTACACTGTGCTGTGTGCTCACCACCCAGGTCAGGTCTCCGACCATCACCATTCATCCCCCCCTCCTCCCTCCCCTGCGCCCCCGCCCCCCCGCAATCCACATCACCACACTGTCATCGGTAAGATATGGAACATACTGTGCGTCTCAGTAAAAAGCTGGAACGAGGTCATGGCTCCAGGGTTATTCTCAGAGAGGGGACTCAGATCTATGAGGCCAGACAGAAATGTCATTCAGGGGACACCTTTGTGTCAGCTGGCGTAATAGCTATAAAGGAAGGGGTAGGTGTGTCAGCCTCACCTTAATGGCATAAGACATGTAATATTATTGTCACTTCTTTCTTTTCACAAATAAAAAATCTTTAGCTGAGCCCAAGTGGTGTGGCTCAGTGGATGGAGCGTCATCCCATGGACTGAGAGGTCCCAGTTCGATTCCCAGTCAGGGCACATGCCGGGGTTGTGGGCCCGAGCCCCAGTAGGGGGCGTGCAGGAGGCAGCTTATCAATGTTCTCTCTCATTGATGTTTCTGTCTCTCTCTTCCTGCCTCTCTCTAAAAAAAACAGTAAAAACATTTTTAAAAAATCTTTAACTGAGATATTTATATTATTTTAAATAAAGTTTTATAATCTTAGGTTTTCTCAGAAAACCTGGAAGAAGCCATTTTTATTAAGTGTGTAGAATAACTTATTTTCCAAGACAGTTTCAGGGTGTAATTTGATTTTTCATGAGTGTGTATATATTTCCAAATAATTCTATGTTTAACCATTGGAGTACAGCATTGATTTATATCTGAACACATGGAATTAAATAATAAACAGTAATACTGATTGGCAGTGTGCACTAGAGTTTTCCTTTATCATATTTCACTCTTTTGGGGGTTCCATTTTTCTGAATTAATCTATAGAAAGTTATGTTATGATTGGACAAACTAACACAATGGAGATATCTTAATATATCTTTCACATTTCAGTTTTACAAATACATATCTGTATGTATTTTTTCCCTACAGCCTGTTAGGAGGAGGGTCATTATTTCAGAGACAAATAGAACACTCAAACATTTTCCCCTCCTCCCTTTATTAAAACTAGTTTGAACTTCATAATATCTAGATTTAAGTAATAGAACGAATTAATATGACTTGTACTAAATATAGCGCAGAGGTCTACCCTGTTAGCCTTGTCTGTCAGTGTTCCCTTGTGTCTTTGGGTTTCCCAGATTTAGAAGGATTCTTGTCCCTTTCGACGCCCCATCTCCCTTGTATGTTCTCCCCTCTGTCTTGACATTTTTCTCAATGACGAGAACTGTGCCTGTGCATAGAAAGAATCCTCACCAAATAGTCCCTGAAGGAACCACTGATGTGATCCAAAAGCACAGTAGCCCTCTTCCTACAAAAATGACAGTATGTTCAGTGAGCAGTTGCTTCATTATCGGTCTTCATTTTGAATCAAAATGAAAGACGCCAGGAAGACAGTGGGGACCTTCCTAAATCCATCGGTTCTGGCCCTGTCTCCCAGTTTTTGGGCTGTTTTCCGATTTTTGTATTTCACCTTTAAGACATAATTGTCTTCTGGTTCCCTGTGTCCGGCTTCCAGAGTCTCAGATGATAGTTTTTATTATAATGTTCTGGATAATCAAAAGGTAAATGCTTATTTTAAATGTTTTATCATTATAGCGGACTCTTACATGAAGTACTAATGCTCTCTTGTCCTTTTAAGTTATATAGATTCCTTGCTCTTCCTCATCTGTGCTTATCAGAATAACAAAGAACTCCTGTGCAAAGGGCCGTACAGAGGACACGATCAGGAGTTGATATCACATTACAGAAGAGAATGTTTACTGGTAAGTTGGATGCACATAGTATGTGTTTATCTTCCTTAGAATGGGATCCGAATGATTACATGTTTGTATTTATATTTCTTTACATTCCTCCATTAGTTACCACATCCCTTGATTTTACTTGCTTCACCATTTTTATTTCCCCGTATTGATTTTAGAGAGAGAGGAAGGGAGAGGGAGATAGAAACATCGATGAGAGAGAACATCGATTGGTCCCCTCCTGCACGCCACCCACTGGGGATCAGCCCACAACCTGGGCATGTGCCCTGACCGGGAATCGAACTGGCGACCTCTTGGTGCAGGGTCGACGCTCAACCCCTGAGCCACACTGGCCACACTTGCTTCACCACTTTTGCACCCTGTTCGTTATACCCATGGTACTTTGCCTTAGTTGAGGCTTTTACCCTTCTTCCCCTGTCTCTCTGCTCTGTTCGTGGACTTCAATCACTATTACTTTCTACTTTACCCTCTAGAATACTACTGCCAGAATGTTCTGAAAAGAAACCCGATCGTGCCGAATCTAACATTAAATTTTAGAATAATGACAATATGTCTTGGAATGTACATTATAAAAATTATAGTCGATACTTCAAGGCGTATCTCATTTAATCCACTGTGTAAGGAAGGGAATAGGATCCCATTTTTCAAACAAAGAAACGGAAGCTGACAGATTCCTTATTTGCTCAAGATGAGTTGATTGGTTGGTGGGTGGCTGAGTGAGACTTAACATCCGCCTGTCTCCTAACCAAAAATAAATTCCACAAGAATGATCTAACATAAACATAAGAAATAATATAAGTTTTGTATTTGAAATTCAGCTTTAAACTAGGATCATTTAAACACCTTATTTAGCCCTGGCTGGTTTGGTTCAGTGGTTAGAGCGTCAGCCCATGGACCTATGAGTCAGGGGTTCGATACTGGTCAAGGGCACGTACCTCAGTTGCGATTGGTCCCCAGCTCTGGTTGGGGTCATGCAGGAGGCAGCCACTCGATGTGTCCCTTTCACGTCGATGTTTCTCTATCTATCTATCTGTCTATCTATCTGTCTATCTATCTATCTATCTATCTCTTCCTCTCTCTCTCTTCCTGTCTCTCCCTCCCACTCTATCTGAACAGAAGATGGAAAAGTGTCCTCAGGTGAGGATTTAAAAAAAAGAAAAAAATCGTATTTATCCGCTCTAAACATAAGATGTCAAACATAAGCCCTTCAATATTACAGCTGTTATTTTATCTGCCTTCTTTATCCGTCTCCTAGATCTGTGTCTCTTGTGTTTCTTGTCCAAAGGATTTCTCAGTCCTGCTCGGTTAGGGACCGGCCCGTGGCCGGCATCCAGCCTGCCCCTTATCTGTGTACATAAAGTGCTGCTGAAACACAGCCACGCTCACTGTGGATGATGCGTGGCTGCCTCTGGAGACAGGCAGGTGGACGAACTGCAGCGGACACAGTGGGTCCCTCAAATAGTTCCTTCTTGACCTTGACAGAGGAGCTCAGCGGTCCCCACACCAAGCCGCACGCTGCACTCGAGTTTTCTGTGTCAGTCACTCAGGTGTCCTGCGTGTAGAAGAATGTCGGGCGCGGGGCACGCGCTAGGTCAGAGTTTCTGAAGGGATACACGAGTTCCCTGTTTAGCTCTGTAATTTTGTACCAAGGAATAGAGCTTCCCTTATTCGGTCGACATTCGTGGGGAAGAGGATGACGAGTTTCTCAGAGTGAAAACGGAGTTCACATTTCTGTGTTTTCACGCGGACGCGAGTGCTTAGTGGGTTTCGCGCTTGGGCGGAGTTCATCCCGGGAGACGGGATGGAGACGGGCCCGGCGCCGGACGTGAACGCGATGAACATGACGCATTTGCTTTGTCCTTCGTGCCTGCTGCTGCCCACGCCGTGTTCCCACGAGCTTTTCCGGGTGGGACAGGGTGAGCCGCTCTCCCCGGTGGCCGCGCGTGCTGGTGCGGCTCGGGAGCGCCTGCCCGTGTCCTCCGCGCGCCCGCGGGCGTGTCTGTCACTGCGGCACGAGCCCACCCACCCCTGTTCCTTTCTCCTTGGTTAAGAAGCTGAACGAGCAGGCGGCAGATCTGTTCGAGTCCGGAGAAGACCGGGACGTGAGCCACGGCCTGGTCGTGATGAACGAGTTCGTCGTCCCGTTCCTGCCCTTGCTGCTGGCGGACGACATGGAGGAGAAGGACGTGCTGGCCGTGGAGGACGTGAGGAACCGGTGGTGTTCCTACCTGGGACAGGAAATGGAACGTAAGGCCCACGGTGCTCCTGGGCGGTTAGCTGGACAGCAGTGGGATTGAACCTTAGGATGCGTGGCTGCTTCTGTGGGTTTATCCTCACAGTTTTGCATTTATCTTCAGATAGAGCAGGAGGGACAGAGGGAGGAAGAGAGAGAGAGAAACATCGATGTGAAAGGGACACATCGAGTGGCTGCCACCCACACGACCCAGGGACAAACTGCCACCGAGGTGCGTGCCCTTAACGGGGACGAACCCGGGACTCTCTGGTCTGCAGGCCGACACTCTGCTGAGCCAAACCAGCCAGGGTGATTTGTATCAATTTTTATATTCGATAATATTCACATTGTTCCTTTGATTTAAATCTAATCTCTGGAGTCTGCATTGCCATCGGTCTCCAACTTCTTCCCTCAAGATGATAATTATTGTGCGTATTTTTATTTTATTTATTTTTTATTTTTTTAATCCTCACCCGAGGACATTTTTCCATTTTTTGTTCAGGTAGAGTGGGAGGGAGAGAGAGAGAGAGAAAGAAACATCGATGTGAAAGGGACACATCGAGTGGCTGCCACCCGCACGACCAACCAGGGCCGCGGACAAACTGCAACCGAGGTACGTGCCCTTAGCGGGAACCGAACCCGGGTCTCTCCGAACCGCAGGCCGACGCTCTAACCGCTGAGCCAAACTGGCCAGGGCTATTGTGCGTATTTTTAAATGGAAAACTAAGTCCATAAAGCCGGCTGCAGACCATAATCTCTCTCTCTCCCCGGAGTCACCTCTGATCGTTTGTATTTGCAGCGAACCTCCAAGAGAAGCTGACGGACTTCCTGCCGAAGCTGCTTGATTGCTCCACGGAGGTCAAGGGCTTCCAGGAGCCGCCGAAGCTGCCGTCCTGCCCCACGCACGAGCTGTGTGAGCGCTTCGCCCGGGCCATGCTGTCCCTCAGCCGCACCCCCGCCGACGGCAGATAGACCGCCCTCCGCCCGCACTGTCCGAACCGCGTCCGGCCCCCACCCTCGCCTCCCTGCCGCCGGGTTCGCTTGTTGCTGCTATCGTTTTTAACTTTCTCTGTTTCTTTTCTTTTCAACGACTGCAAGACACAAAGTAACTGTACAGACTCCCGCTGGACCGCCGACGTCGAAGCTGAGAATCGCATGACGCTCAGCCTTCGATTGAGCCAGCGCGCGTGTCGTGACGCCCCCGATCGAACTGACCAGGGCAGGACTGCGTTCTGCCGCCCGGGCTGCAGTGTTACTGCTTTTACCCGTGTCTACAGCTTCCCGTCCAGCCCGGGCCTCCCCCGGCTGCCGGCACTGTGTACGATACTTCGCATTTGGTAGCTTGTAAATGGAATTAAAGAATAAAGTTTTATTTATGGCTACCTATGTGTTTGTAAGCAGGTATATTGTATATTAGTGTATCATTTCCGCTGTAATATATAAATGCATTTGGGGGATTAAGATTGGGGTGATGGAAAGATGAATGCAGACTTTTTAAGTTTGCTCTAATGTTGGCCTATTGGAAGTTTACTGCGTATTTGACACTTAAATATATATATATATATTTTTCACAAAGTTGTTAAACTTTAATATGGCACCTAAGCCTGTTTCGAAGTCAAATCAGGTTTTCCTGGAGGAGAGTGGCTTAGTCAACCACACTGAAACTTTTAAACGTTTCTTAGATTAACCTTTTATTTTTGTATGTATGTACAAATAATGTAGCAAGGTGATTCTCTCAAAAGATACCAGAAAAAAATACTTGAATAAGGGCTATTTAATAGTGAATCTTATAAGAAATATGTATATATGTGTGTATATATGTATATACACACACACACACAATACACACACGTACACATACACATTCTTCATAATGGAGGACAGTGTTTTGCATTATATAATCATTCTATTTTTGTAAGTTGTATGTCACTGGAGTTGGAAATGCTCTCTGCTAACCAGTGCTGTGAAGTTGCTTCTGTTGAGCTCGAGTTTATGGGTATCTCACCTGCTTTAACTTACCTCCTCTTCAAAAGGAAGAAGCTGTAGAACATTTTATAGATGGAACTTCTGTTTAAGATTAATGAGGTAATATTGTGAATAAAAGCAGTGCTTTAAAGGTAATCCTGTTACCAACAACCTATTTTTGGATTTATACAAGTTTCTTTATACACCGTACCTTGTTAGCTTAGTAAAATGTATCATTATCTCCGCGTATGTGTGTGATAGCTTCAGCCAAACGTGCCCTTTCTAAGTGCCTCTCGCAGAACATCATCCTGGACACAGGAGGGAAAGAAACTGTTACATTGTTACACGATGCTCCTCTTAAGGGGGAATGTGCTGCTGAGGACTCACGACAAAGCTGGTACTGTCTCTGTTGTAAGTGTGCGTTTGCATGTCGCAGCTGTCCAGACGTGCCTTGGGTCGGAAGTTATTTTGTCCACTTGAGGAGAATTCGCGTTCTGCATCGGTTTTCAAGTCGGGTCCACATTTTAGAGACTGTGTGCGCTCTCAAAGCTTTCGTAAGAGATCAGCAGTGTTGGGTGCTGTCCCACCGGAACGGCGGATGGTCTGTGTCTGTGTCCGGCTGGCGGCTGAGACACACAGAACTCGGGCCACGGGGAGGCCTCGCCCGCCACAGGCCACAGCAGGGAATCCGCGGCTCTGGGCTCAAGGTAAGTTTCAGTGTTGAGGGGACGTTGTATTTGAACCCCAGTTCGTTCATTCCTTGTCGTGACTTCTGTAACCCTCATTTACAGAAGTGACCTTTTCCCCGACTTAGAGATGCCGCTTTGTTTTTATGTCAGCTTCAACCTTGTGGTAAGCTTTAGGTCAGGAAAACTCCCTTCCCTTATTTGTTAAATATCATTTGTAGGCGGTAATTTAAAACTTAGAACCGCATACAGCTGTGGTCTGTGGCAGATTTTACTTTGGTCCCCTCTCCCTGCCCCCGCCCCCCCAAATTATGATTTGAAATAATACAAGGCACACAGAAAGCATAGAACTTGAGACTTGTAGGAGCTTCTTATAAACACGGGGCTTAGGGAGACCGTACCAGAGGGAACCTGGAGACTCTCTAATACTTGCCAGGTTCCTTGAAATTCTGTGATGACCACACACTGAGTCAGTAGTTCTCGGGGTGTGGTCTCAGCCCAGCACCTTCCACGGTGTCTGGAACACGCTAGAACTGGCCACTCTTGGGTCCTATACCGGAGCACTGATTGGGAAACTCGTCCTGCAATCTGTGGGCTGACAGGTCCCTCCGGTGGTTCCGGTTCCGCTCCAGTCTGAGAGCACCGTGGAACACCGCCGGCAGCATTCTTAAGTCGACGCTGTCTAATTTCCATTTAGTTACCATCTCGTGGGGGGGGGGGGAAGGTTTTCCTGTTTCCCTCACTTGTAATTTCAACGAAGCGATTGCAAATTATTTTGCTTAGATTTGGACGAAAGTGGATTTTCTCCTTGATCTGTGCCTTCCAGAAGGCCACTGTCTCTGTTCTGTGATTCAGAATCGTAGACCCTGCCTCTGGGTCACCTGTTTCTTTTCAAAAATACAATCACTGCGATGCTTGGGGGAAGCAAGATCACCCCAGTGCTTGGGGGAAGTGAGCAGGGATACCCCGGTGTAACAATTTAAATTTTTTTACATCATTAAACAGATTGAATATAATTTTGTGCCCGTGATAACTTTATCCAAAGGATATGGATTGGTTTGCCGGGGCGGCCGTAGCCAAAGCCCTAGACTGACTGAGTGCTGGAGGCTGGAAGTCCCAGAACAAGGGGGTGACAGGTGTCGTTTCTCGGGGGGCCTCTCCTTGGTTTGCAGATGGTCTTCCCACTTTGCCTCTTCCTCCTGCAGGCCTGCCTCTCTGGTGTCCCTCTTCTCGTGAGGACACCCGTCATACTGGGCTGGAGCCCCAGCCTGGTTACCTCATGTAATCTTAATTCCCTCTTTAAAGGTTGTGTCTCCAGAGTCACATTGTGGGTAGGGGATTCTCAGATTAATTCGGCAGGGGGTTGGGACACGATTTAGTCCGTAACAATAGGTGACCATGGTCCCGTTCTTACCTCCTTTTTGAAAACACAGTAAGACCGGCAGCCCCTTTCTCGGCCTGGGGATCCTAGTTCGGTTCTTCCATCTGCGTAGCCGTTGTCTGACTCACTGGGCTCAGAACTAGTCGGTTGTGCGGGTCCGGTGGAAAGTGCTCAGCATCCACCGCTCAGTGAGTGTGCTGTTGTTGAGCAGATCTTTGCGGATGAAGGCGGCGGCCCTGTCGACTCACCCTTGTTCATGTGCTTGCTTCCTCAGACTTGGCACATTGTATCATGGCTGTTTCTGTTTCCCTGTATTTTTATTCTTACCTGCTGCTCCTCATCACTTTTCCTTCCCTCCCCCACCCCCAGCCAGGGGACGACTGTTAACCACTGTGGTCGCGTGCTTTTCCGGGTCGGGATAAGGTTACACGGCGTAACCTTTTTTGGGGGGGGTGGATTGGGAAGAAGGGGGCATTGCTTTTACAAAGCTGAGATGCCATTTATTCTAAACATCCTTTCTCCTTCCCCTGGTGTAGTTTCTAGTCTCCAGTCCTTTTTCTGATCAGCTTTGAAAGAGGTGACTTAACCATAATGCAATAGTAATAAGAAATAGTGCAACACGGATAAAAGTTGAACGAGGCATGATTGGCAGAATGGATCCGCGATTGAATGTCCACGTGCACACACAGCAGGATTCCAAAATCCTCACTCATTGCGGACGCACTCCATCACCCTCCGGTTCAGCACCACGCCCAGCCCGGTCCCGGAGGCTCTGGTGGAAACAGGTGTTTTCCGCGCCCCACCGAGACGGTTGCGGACCCCGTAGGAGTAGGAGCCTCCCCTTCAGATTGCTCCTGCACACCTGTAAGCTTACAGGTGATTATTAGTTAACCAGGATATGATCAGGGATGGGCATTATTGAAAATCCAATGGTGTGAGGAAAATATAAAATCAAATGTATACAGTGAGCTTACAGATTTCAGTTATATCCATTATTTCGGGACAGTTGTTTTCTACAAAATTAGTTCCAAAAGTTCACATGTTTTTTGCCTTGCTCTAGCCCAAGGCCCGGGCAACACCCCTCTGTCCTTTAGCAAGTGGCCCTCTCGCTTTGCAGTGACCTGGAGGCTGACTCGTGCTCGGCACGCTGGCCGGGCGTCAGCAGCAGCCCGTCCTGAGGGTCCGTAGAAGACTTGAGTGAGGACACCGGGTGAGCGCTTCCCCACCTCGAACCACCTGTGGCCCTGCCCCGAGAGACCACTGAACCGCCAAAGCATGCGGTGGACACTTTGCACACGAGTGTGTCGCCGGACAGGCAGGGTGGTTCAGTGTGCGGGTCGCACCTCGGGCACGGCAGACTGGGGTGTTCCAGCCGCAGCAGCTTCAGGAGCCTTGGACTTGGGGACACCTGCCTCCAAGTGGCTTAGTGCAGAGCCCAGAACAGACCGCCTAGGTCCAGATCCCGGGTCAGCGGGCCGTTCTGTGCCTCAGTTTCCCCATCTAGAAAGTGGAGTTACAGTGTCCCCTTACAGGATGCTTACAAGACACCTCAGTGATCTCTGGTGCATGGCATTCGGCCACTGTCAGCTGGTCACTTGGTCCTCTTGCTCCTGACTGAGAAGCTGCCTTCCTGAGAGGTTTTCTTGAGCGACACTTGTTCCTACCTGCCTTGCTTGTCATTTCCTTTCCTTGCTGTCCCTAAATGTCGCTGTGGTCAAGGCTCCTAACTCTCTCGTTTCCTGGGTGGTCCTGCCCACTGCCTTGTCCTCCCGCCCACCTGCTGGTCCACACGTCGGTGTTTCTGAGCAAACCTTCCCTGTGAGCCCCAGGCCCGAGTACATTTCCAACAGACTTGGATGTTTCACGAGCACTTTAAGCTTCGGGGTCCCAAGCTGAATGCCTAGCCCTTCCCCTGCCTGATTCTCGTGTCCCTGTGTCCGTGACATAACCACCCGGAAGTGGGGAATGTGTTCCATTCTACTTAGATTTTCCATTGATGATCAAGTGTCGGCAGGTCAGGTGTTTTCATGCTTGCTCCTGCATCCCTTACTTCTGTTGATCCCTTTATCTGGACAACCGGGCCCAAACGACGTCCGTGTTCGATCTTGTCCCTACGACCCACCTTCCGTACTGTTGGCAGAATAATCTTTCAGAGTGTTCACAGGTGTGTCTTCCACCGCCGGGCTGACGTCTTAAGAGGGCGATGGCAGCTCTTGTTTCTGTAACCCCAGGACCTTTCAAAACACCTGGCAGCTCGCTAGAGGTGGAGTCTGGCAGATTCTCCAGACCTCCATCCCCTGAGACCCCACGGTCCACTAGGAGGCCACGAGCCGCATGTCATTATTGAGTTTAAGCCAAATAAAGTGGCTTAGTCATGCCAGCCACCCTTCAGGCGCTCCGTAGCGACGTGTGACTTGGCTACCCTACTGGACCATGTGCTTTGGGACATTTCCATGGTTGCAGAAAGTTCTATTGGGCGGAGCTGCCCCGACCCTTCCTGCCATGGACACCTTTCATTAATGCCCCTGGGACAGTCACACAACCTGAGCACGTTGGCCTTCGGCACTTGTCCCTGTCTTGAGCCCGTCCTTAGCCACTTCGCTACATCAGAGAGCCGCAGGTGTCCGGTTGGGGACGCCACCCCAGGTGGCCCCCACCATCCTGACTGCGGGGTGCAGCTCCAGTTCCTGTGGGGAGAGCAGCAAACGAGAGAAGCTGGGGACCAGCCACCTGGCCCTCCAAGTCCGTGTGGGGCTGCTCAGTCTGAGGGGGACCACCCCCTCTCTGCTCTTGCTGCTTCTGAGGGGTGCAGTGAAGATAGTTCTAGACGTTCTTACCGTCGTCAAAGACTGGAATCGGCAGACGCTCGGGTCAACACTGGTGGGTGGGCACACAAAGACGAGGATGCCCCGCCTGGCCACCCTCCTCCAGGAGGACTTCTTAGCAGGAGCTGGTGGGACGCAGCAGGCGCGATGGGAAAGGCACTTTGCAGGGTCCCAGCTCCAGCACCCAGAGGGTAGAAGGGGGAACGGAATGGGAGCTGAGAGAAAGGTAAAGGACCAACACACCAGTTCCTCTCCAAGACTCCTCGTTATCCAAAGGTGTGAA